AGATGCTCTCCAATAGTATGAGTGATTTGGGATTTGAGAGACTATTTGGATTGTTTGCTGTTTGGAATTTTGAGTGGTATCCTGAATTTGAGAAAGTATTCTGATTTGTTTGTCTCACTTGGAGGTATGAGTGGTATGGGAATTTGCGATAGTATTTTGATTGTTTGTCTTCTTTGGAAGTATGAGTGGCATGGGAATTTGAGAAATTATTTCGATTGTTTGACCTCTTTGGAATTATGAGTGTATAGAAGGTTAAAATATTTTTTTGATTACTTGTCTCGTTTGGAAGTTTGAGTGGTATAGGAATTTAAGAGTGTATTCTGATTGTTTGTCCTTTGAGAGGGCTCAAACGATGGGATGGAACGATGCGCAGACCCCATGAGGAGAGTGTGTTTGTTTCTGTAGCCTATAGTGAAGTTGCGCTGTCTGGTACTTAGAGTACCGAGCACACACGTGACCTCGTAACCCGTTTTGAAAATATTATCCTCTCCTTGCACATCGCACTGCCATTGATGTGACTTGCCAACAGAAAACAGTGTCTCAACCAAAATTTGCATTGGTTTTTTTTCTCATACAAGTCTATGGTTTACCTCCCTTAAAAAATGCCTCTAGCACTGTCTCAACGCAGGAAGATTCTTCGCTTCTGAAATTATGTTTATGTATCATATATCTTATAACGTGACTGTGCGTTCTCATTTTTACCTCCCTAGATTTATATGCACGTGATTGGCGTCCAACTACTGTACAGTCCAAACATCTTTTTCACAGTTTGTCGGACACACAGTTTGAATAAAGTTCTCTCATATGCAAGTACAAATATATCAAACTAAAACTTTCTTCATAATTAAGAACTGAATCGGATAATTTTCACGTGATAGAAATACGTCAAAAGATCAATTGAGATATATATGTTTGTTACAATCGATAGAGAAAATTCTTGATCACGACTGTGATCGATTTTGTTCAACACAGTCACCACACCGTCAATATATTCTAAAGGTCAGTTTAGCATCCCATTGGGTAGGAACATTATTTGTTTACACCATGCCCTGGCGTCCTTGACATGTTGAATGAAGTGAATGCATATTCCACATCTCTCATCGGAACTCTACATTCTTTTGCTGCGTGTCCACTGTTATCAGTGTGAGAGTACATCTCCTAAGTTGATGCGACATCATAAAATTATCTTCTTTTTTTGTTAATCTTGATATATTGATGTTATATGGCACAATGATACTGACAGACCTTGCTTATAGTTTTGTTTCATTTTCTATACGGGCTGGATAGGATACTTTCGTAGTTTTTTACTGTTTATTTGTTCTTACTTCATTTCTTTCATGTATCCCAGTTGGTTGAGAGTCAGCTGTGAAAATCTTCAAGCTTTATACATGAATACAACTCTGCACCATGTCATCATTATTACTTGTCTGAACATGTAAGTTACAGATAAATGCATGTAAATACGATTAAAATTTGTATATGAAATTGATCAATCTAAGCAATATCCAACATAAAATTGAAATAAAATTGAAATTCTATACGGGCTGGATTGGATACTTTCGTAGTTTTTTACCGTTTAGTTGTTCTTATTTCAATTTTTTCATGTATCCTAGTTAGTTGAGAGTCAGCTGTGAAAATCTTCAAGCTTTATATATGAATACAACTCTGCACCATGTCATCATTATTACTTGTCTGAACATGTAAGTTACAGATAAATGCATGTAAAGACGATTAAAATTTGTAGATAAAATTGATCAATATAAGCAAAATCCAATATAAAATTTAAATAAAATTGAAAATTTGAAGGAGTTCTGTTATAAATACTAGATTAACAAAGAGTCCAATTTAGTCTAAGATCTTAAATGTCAAGAATGCCAAATTATAAAAAATTACCAGTTGTTGGACATTGAATAATGTTTTCTAGTTTATTTACATTCATGTTAGTGGTGGGCACTAATGAAATGCTTATGCAATAAAGGACAAGGTCCATAGATTGCACTATGTTTCTGAATCACTTCCATTCATCTACTATTCAATGAAATTTCACAATTTGTTTGATATTCTTCAATTTCATTTGCTCTGTCTCAGGTCTATACCATGTTCACTTATTTGGGATTTGCCGATTCCTCGAACAATTTTAGAACTAGCTTAGGTTTAGTAAGGTGTGCGTGAAATATTGTCTTCATATAACTGATTCCTAAAATAATTTGACTCTACTAAAGTGTGGTGATGAAATAAAATATTGTGTGAGGGACAGAAATGCTGAAATGATCGACTTCCACATTTGTCTTCTACACCATTCATTACTACAAACGCATAACGACAGGGGACAAGAAAATACAAACTTCCTACAGAGAAGCGAGTGCTCGCACATGCGTTCCCACTTGAGCCATTTCATAAATGGAACATCTGACGACATGTTCAGAATGTCATGTAGGTCAAGACAAATGCTTTCAGGTATGGAGCCTACGTCATATTCAACCCGTAGCAATGTTTCTTCGAACATTATTTTCGCGAACTGGGACGAATGATTATATTTAGACCATGTGGACTCCTCTGTACCGCTGTCGGAAGGAGTCCCGGCGTGCTCCTGTCATTTACAGCGGTGCCGGCCTCGTTCTGACGTGGACTCCGCATAGCTGACTTTAACTGCGGTCTGCCACGTACTCCGTTCAATATAGACCCACCTGGCTATGGTAGACCAGGTACACTTTTACTAGTCCATGTGTTTAGATAGGTGCTAAATATAACGGGCTTCAAAGATGGATGCTGTTGCGTAATTGTATAACCTGGTGGGCGGCTGGTGGAAAGGTACTACCCGATGTTTGCAAAATTGTGATTTGCTGAGAAAAATTGAAGTCTTTGTTATTCTAGACTTGGAGTTCTTACTTTTAATTCACTTTGAGTCTGTATATTTGCGTTGGATTCAATTATCGGTATTATAAGTTATCAAAAATGAAGAAATCATGGATGTAATGTTTCATGGGATGCTCTCTTGTTTGTGTATATTTCGAGTTGGACAGGTAGTATCAGTTTGATATCCTATAACATATTTAACTTCGTGATGCTATCGAGTCATGGACCCTAGTTACCCATTTAGATTCATTCCTCCCATGTTTTTATATAACCCTATGTGTCAACCTTCCTAAACTCTTTCCCATGCTCAGTGACATGAATGCACTGATCTTTACATTCGATTGTGAATTTGCCATTGTGTGACGCTGTCTCGGAAGACCCACACAACGAACTGCAAAGAGTGCTAAGTTAATGAGCTTCATACTCTTAGACACACATTGCTAGAATTATCTAGTATATTCAAAGAAGTATACTACGCTTGTCGTGCCTGTAACGAATTGGTGAATGCCAACATCCAAATGAACAAAGACACAACTTACTGATAGAAGGAACTCACCGACCCAAGGACGGATGCAGTATTATAGCGCAAATCAGATATGGGGAACTAAATAAGTTCCAGGAGACCGGGATTCAGTTTACGATTCAGTTCAACGATGGTAAAACTGTGTTATCGCCGCTTCAGTGTGGATTCATAAATATTACAATAGATTTGCTTGATGGTATCCCATCCAAAAGTAAATTGCTTGATGGAATCCATTGAGTTTCAATTTACTCATGTGACCCCATGGACGGTGTGCCGTCGCTGAGTTCTAGTAGATGTTTTAGTACGCTGAGCACTGCTTCAGAAAGTTAATCGATCATTCGAACATATTCTCGCGACATCCAAATCTAGAGTCGAATAGAATTGGGTGCCCGAAGTTAAACTGTTCAAAAGTCAGCGCTCGATCATCACGATCTAGCAAGCATAAAAACCCAACCTTCTTCCTCCTGATGCAAGCAGCGGGCCGAGCTATTTTTTCATCTCCACCTTATCGTCCCATTCTTCCCAAGAAAGTGGTTCAGCAGGACCAGACTCTACTAAGAGAAACGAAATATCATGTACAGAAGTTAACATGAACTGTGACTCACGCACCGTACTCTATTCATACTAGAACAATGTGACGTGGACCATAGGTGGATCATATCGGGTAAATAGAAACTTGATGGATACCATCAAGCAATTCACGTTTGGATGAGGTCCCATCAAGCAAAAGTCTCCAAATATACAAATGAATGAGAGTAAGAAAATTACAACCCCCAAGAAAAAAAAATTCTTCCCTAATGAGAACATATGGTGCCAAAGCAGAAGTTACAAGGGCAAAGCACCCAGAATCAAAACCTTGCTGAGATCAATGCTCGAAGAAAATGAAATGAATAAAGTGACGAAGAATCATAATACAGCCTCATGTGATTCAGTTTGATAAATTTTTTTGTGAATAAACAAGTTTCAATCAATCTGATTCACGTTATAACATTGCGGGGCGTATGTTCATTCGCTTTACTGACAATAACGTTTGGGGATTATACCTACTTGGACAAGTTGAATCGTAAATCTGTAAAATGTAAAATGAAGATATATTATGGTTTTGAAGACTCGACTCATATGTGACTTTCATTAAAATTACTCTAGTGTAAAGGGGTTCTTAGTGGATATAAAAACCATACGGAGACACGAGAGTACCATGATGAGAAACATGTCAGATAGCACCGAGAATATCTGAAGGACATAAATAAAAAATAATCTACAAACAACAGTGTCACCTATGCTGTCATGTGTACAGGAGCTCACTCTAGAGTGCGCCACGGCTCTAGAGTGAAGAGATTAGAGAAAATAATAAAGAAAGATCAAAGACACCAATGATTTCATTAAACCAATGAGGTAGGGGGTATCACTGAACAAGAAGCCTACGTGAGCAGGACAAGACTTATTTTTGCTTTTCAGGCTCTGGTGAAAGCATGGCAGCGAACGCCTTGTAAAGATACTCGTCCATGGTAAAAAGTGAGAAAGATGACGACGCGGTTAGGCCCGAACCAAGTTACGGGACTGTACATGGAGAGCGTATAAATAGCGGGCGATGGACGAGTCAGCCTCAACTTGGGTCAAGCGGCCAGCCTGAGGTTAGGGCGGAGTGACCGCTGGTTGGCTGAAGTAGAGGGCGCATTTAGGAGCGTTTCCAGAGGAGGAGGAAGTCCGAGGAACTTGAGGCACAAGTAGAGGACATCATTGTGCTCACGTCGTCCTGCGCTGTTCTGCTGCAGCTGCCGCTGCGGATCGCGATTCTCCACCGATTTCTCCCTCCTTCCGCTTCTCCCGCTTCTCCCGCTAATCGGCAATTACGAATCGGGCACTATTCCGGACAAAATTCCACCTCGTACGAACGAACCTTTTGATTTTTCAAAATCTCTATGCTTTAATGCTGTTTTTCTGGAGTCTAACGCTGGCTTTTGCGCATACATAAACCCAATTATTGCGACTCTTGCGATGCTGCCGCTGTAGCTCCAGCGATGTGCGCTTCCTGATTGCATTCGGTTGCAAATTCTGTAGATTGCGTGTGCAGAATATCGTTTCGAGTTCACTACGCGCAGGAGATATTAGGAGTCAATTCTGCTCTGCATCGCGATTCCGCACGTACTTCTTGTAAGATTGTGATCTTTAGAAGATTTGCCGTTCTCTCTTCCTTTTTCCGAATTGCCATCACCTTCTCGATTGCGAGATGGGAACATAAGTACCGAATACTTTCATTCGTCTCTCAATTTTGTTCTCTGCAGTATTCATGACCGATTTTTCCTGGAAATGCGTTGTTTCACACGTTCAATTTTCTCTGTTTACGTGTGTGGCGCTTTTGAATTGCTGATAAGTTCAGTCATATTGTTTTCGTTTATAATTTTGGACCCATGAATGTGACTCTCAGGTCAGGTCTTTTCGTAGGTGCAATTTAACATCCTGTGCTCTGTCGGTTGCGCAGGAAATTCTGGTTACTGTCGTTGCAGGCGTTTGAAGCGAACCTTTATCACCGCGTGAGTGCTGCTTCCATATCTGGAAGTACTTCATATTCAAGAAGAGCTGCAGCTTTTTTGTTCCTATGCATTCATCCTTTGTGCAGCGGACACGGATAAAGTGAACTGGTAAATATTAGCTTCTCCAATACTGAATTTGTGGAACTGTCATGTCTGATTGCCCCGATCTCGAGTACGTTACCATCTTATCTATGCATTTTCCAGCTCGTTTACAAGTCATTATGATCGTGAGCGGACTTATTCGTCAACTCAATTTGTCGAATACCATTCTCTCTCTCTCTCTCTCTATGATTTTGAATTGGACTCGGTCGAGGGGATCATGAATTTTCAGAACTTTGCCCTGCTGTATAAAATTCACTGTTAAAACTTGACATGTTATGTGTAAATGGATTTGAACAAAGCTATGTGACTCTTAACGACAAGATCTTTCGACTCTACATCAAAACCAACTTCGAAGTACAAATATATTGATGTAAGCCTGAGCATTAGAATCAGCAATTATGCCTCTCTGCTAAGATGAGTATGAAGGAATGCGGTCGACGATAGATCAAATATACGACGCTGAAATAGTGCTGCGGACAGCCTTCGTACTTCGTCGTCAATTGAGAGAAAAGACTTTACTATGGGTTTAGTGGTGAATTATCTCACGACAAAGATCATCTAACATGTTACGTCTCTGTGGCATAGCACGTACATATGAGAGAGACGTGTGAAATTGGCCAGTTTGAAGTAGCCCTCATGCTGGTTTCATGCTTCACCAAATTCTGTCCGTGTTTACGGAAGTCACTCTTTGTTTGCAGTATACTAGACTGTTGGGAGCGCTCTAGTCTCTACTGGAGTCGCTCAGAAAGTTGCGAGTCGCTCTACAATCGGAACAATTTCTAACACGATTTTGATTGTTTCTGAATACTGTCTTCACTCTTGTCTACTACATACGTTGATTCCATTGATTATATATACATCTAACGTATACACCGTGGTGGCTCACTGCAATCCAATCCTCCATCCCAGGGATGCCACGTCAATATGTATTTGGAATGTAGATCTCAATGCGATGGGAACCCCTGTCTACTGTTCGCAACTGAACGTGATTGACGAAGCTTTGTTCACTGGACTGCAGGGAAGTATGACAGCTGATGACGGTACTAGAGGAAATGGAACGATGAAACCTATGGCCGACATTTTCACTCGGGGAAATCGGGTGGTGGGAATAAGGAGAGAGGAGCACAGCAAGTGGGAAAGACGAGCTCCTTTGACTCCTGCACATTGTGCTAGACTTTTACATTCTGGACAGGATGGAGGTGGAGTTCGTCGTATCATCGTTCAGCCCTGTACAAAACGCATACACTCAGACCAGCAATACCAGGATGTTGGTTGCGAGATTTCAAAAGATTTGTCGGAGTGTGGACTCATTTTGGGAGTAAAACGTCCTCAGGTTTTGTAGATTTGAAACCTATTCTTGCTTAAGATTTATTTTTGACTCGCCAGAAGCTGTAGTGACATAGCTAACCCAAATCGGAATTTCTTGTCTTCGGCTGTGACCAACGTACATGAATCGAATATATCTTGAAAATTGACTTATTCAATTTCATCTGATGTGCGTTTCCACTCCAATGCTTCCTGGCAGTTAGGTGAATTGCTACCCAAGCGAGCGTATGCCTTTTTCTCTCACACTCACAAAGCACAACCGGAGAACATGGCCTTACTTGATGAGGTAACGACTTTCTGTTTGTTTGTTCCGAACATGTTTCTACAGAAGTCTTCAAGTATATGTAGATGTTAATAATCATGAGGCACGATCCAAATTCCCCGTCGAGGACTGAGGACTCTTCTTCAATTATATTTTAAAAATTATACTGCTGAGAAATGTGATGAGCTATGGAGGAATTCAACATTCGAAGCTTGAGGCTTGCTAGTAGGGTGTACTATTTGAAGTCAAAACACTCTCACGTACAGGTGCTGGAAAAACGCGTATCATTATATGATTACGAGCTTATTGCGGGAGAGAACAAGGAAAGACTCGTTGCGTTTGGAGAATATGCGGGCAGAGCAGGGATGATCGACTTTCTTCGAGGACTTGGAGAACGTAAGATATTTAGGCAAGAAATTGCAGATATGTGCAGAAGCTACTCGTCTATTTTTGAGTATTTTCTTTTGATTACGACGATTTACTCATGACCACTATCTTGGTGCTTGTTCTCACAGGGTTCTTGAGTCTTGGTTTTTCCACCCCTTTCTTGCCCGTGGGCTCTTCATACATGTACTCATCGCTGAGTACAGCAAAAGCTGCTGTAATGGCTGCTGGTGACGAGATTGCAAACAACGGTCTAGGATTGGGAATTTGCCCTCTTGTATTTGTGTTCACTGGGTCAGGAAATGGTAAGATCTTAATTTGAACATACAGATGTGTTTTGTTTCTTCTCTATTTCTAGCATTTGTGCTGGTTCATACTTGTGGGATTTGATATGAAGGAATGTCAGTGGCTTCTAAATATAATCTTTCCTATACCAACTAATTAAGTTGCTGCCTTCCTAGACGGCTTTAGGGGCTCCAAGGTCAAGCCTGCAACTTTTTCTAATCTTAGAGAATTCTAGATTGAGAGAGGTGTTTAATTCTATTAAAAAACTTTTAAGAATAAAAGATCATTTCAAGAGGCTCCTGTGATTCGATACTGTTCTCCATTTGGCTGCAGTTTCACGTGGTGCACAGGAAATATTTCGTTTGCTGCCTCACACATTCGTGAAACCGTCTGATCTACATCGACTTTATGATGACGTACACATGGCTTCAGCCGATGACCTCTTATTGCGGAAAGGGAGAGCCAACTTTCAAGTCTTTGGTTGTGTTGTTGAAGCCCGGGATATGGTTGTCCCTATGGACACCTCCAAGAAGTTTGATAAGGTGATTGTGCTTTGCAGTATACCGGTCAAAGCATTTGGAAACAAATTTTGCATACGTTGTAGGACGTTGTATGAAGGACTTGTATGTGAACAAAAGCTCAATAATTTGAGTGCAACTGACAATGAGTCGAGTTTCAATACTAGAAACTTTCCTTTTTAAATATCACAATGCATGATGTAGATGTAAGATATTGTTATTATGATCCAATGGATAATGTACTTCTATATATGTTGCAGGATGATTACTACTCACATCCCGAGCAGTATCGATCCATTTTTCATGAAACAATCGCTCCGTATACCTCCGTGATAGGTGCGTTCCATCTGCGAATCACAAGATTTCTAGTTTTGGTATTAGTAATACTGAAAATCTCCTCGATATTTTCAAAATGATGAGAACTGAATCTTGACTTGACTTGCGGCAATCTTGTGACATATTAGAGATGGCTGTATTGTTCTTACATTCTTATTACTCGAGGATTATCAGACACTAACACGCTTATTAACCATGCTAGTGAACTGCATGTACTGGGAGCGAAGGTTTCCTCGTTTGCTCGACAACAAGCAGCTTCGGGAGTTGACCATAAAAGATGCAAGCACGAAGGGGAGCCGAAAGCAGGGCAAACTCCTTGGAGTTGCGGATATAACATGTGATGTCCAAGGTTCCATCGAGTGCCTCCATCAAATTACTTCCATTGAGGAACCATTTTTCAGGTTCGTCGAGGTCTGGACACATACTTTAAGCTGTTATTGTTTGATTGAGCCATTCTGTAAGTTCTGCTTATCAGTATCGCATTCTTGTGTATGAACTCTGGGGGTAATTGAAATCCAGGCGATACTGTTCGAATGTGCTTTGCGCAGATATGATCCGTCATCTGGGACGTACCATAATGATATGGATGGAGAAGGCATCTTCATCCTAGCAGTTGATTGTCTTCCAACAGAGCTGGCAAAAGAGGTAGCTGTCTTTGTATTGAAAGTATTCTTTGGTTATATTAAGATCTAATTCACTCGCACTTGTAAGATTGCCTGGCCAGGTTGTGTGCTCTCGCGTTGCTGTGTGAATGCATTCCCGTCATCCACTTTTAGACTGGAACTAATTGTGTCGACTGGTTGGCTATTCTGTTGTGTTCAACGTGACGAAGTCAACGAAGCATTTTGGAGATGTACTGCTACCGTTTATTAGTAGTATGGCCTGTGGCCAAACGCCAGAGGACATGTTGGAGCCGATTAAGAGAGCATGCATTGCTCATAACGGGCAGCTTACCCAGCTCTACGAGTATATTCACGTATTAAGAGAAGCTGAAACTAAGTACGTGTGGAAAATTCTTGCAGCTCGATTGGGTTAAATAAAGAAGTTCGTGATATCCTCTTCATATGATTTCATGCTTTCATTTGTGTCGTGGAGTTCTTAAGACTTGGTTTACATGTTGGTCATAATAAGTTCCGTTCATGCATTTCTTTGATTCCAAGGCTTAAATTCTGGGTCACAGGAAATCGCGATCTTCCACCAAGTTGGACTCCCAAAAGAATGGGTCGGTCACCAGATTGGTAAGTTACTTACTCGAGGCCGTTGAATCTAGAGCTTCCTAAATTTCTTGCATTGCTATGTGTATGTTACCCTTTGTTCGCATAACCTCCACATTTGGACTCTACCTCCTTTGGTTTAGGAAATAAATATCTCTTCACTAGTTACGGGGTGGACGAAGGAAGGTGATTTTTTCTATTGGGTTCAGATTGTGGAAGACAGGCTCATCCCACGTGCTAGATCATACACAATATAGATGTTACCGCAAGTCAGTCAATTGGAGCAAGACAGATGCAATCACGAGGAGACCAATTCGCTTTTAAGGGGAATGGAAATTTGATCTGACAGTCAGTCTCTTCCTTGTGATTGTGTCTGCAGGTTTCTCTCGATGGACATCTGTTTGACCAGTTTCTCATCAACGAAGCTCTAGATGTGATAGTCGACGCAGGTGGGCGATTCCGCTCCGCTACCTGCAAAGTTGGCCACAGTGACAACGAAACTTCACACGCCGACCTCGAAGTAAGTCAGACTTTTTGAGAGAAAGCATAATGAATGGACTGATGTGTCAATGCTCAGATCGCATCTATGCATGCGTACAGGACCCTAGCGTAACAGGCACGTGAGCTAGAGCCTTATCAGGAATATTTCGTACGTACTGTAGAGCAGGTAGTTCGTCGAGGACAGGAGAGTTTGGATTGACTCCGCTGTCATGGTAGGTCTCTAACGTAGCCATTGTCTATCTCTGGAGCATTGGCTATTTAAAGTTCGTGCTACCAAACGCTCATCTCCACTACTTCTCATCTGACTGCGAATCTTAAAACATGGGACCGAGACAGTGTTCAATTACATCTGAATTCAAAGACTAGGAGTGCAAGTATTACGGGCAGCGATGCTTACTAAACTTCTTGCGTCAGTCGCGATATCATCAGGCTTTTAAATTCGCCGGCGATCGCAGAAATCTCGGTGTGAGATTTCAGAATTTCTTTCTGTGACCGCTTAGCTTGGTACAGCCGCGCTACGACATAAGAGCTATTGTCGAACTGAACGCGACAGGTCATGCCAAAGTCAGGATATCAAGATTGAAGCATATCGTTCGCCAATGTCATATTACCCGATTGGCTTTATTCCGGATTCAGGAAATACGCAGGTGTCAATTGCTCATCGTGGGATTCTACTCTTTTCAGGTGGAAGCGGACAATGAACAGATTTTGGATGGAATACTCGATGCTTTAGCTGCAATTGCATCTCACAAGGATTCACACAGCAACGGGAGTTCCATCAGAGGACGAAGTCCTGATAGATCAAGCTACCTGGCGGCCAAAAGCTCCCGAGTCATGGATAGCAACGATGAAAATGTCTCAAGAGTGCTGATTTTAGGGGCCGGTCGAATGTGCGAACCGGCCGTGAAATATCTCGCTGCTCAAGGGAGTACTGCTCCTCCGGGTGAACCTTCTAGCGGTGTTGATATACATGTGCAGGTTATCGTGGCGTCTTTATTCCTCAAAGATGCCCAAAAGGTAGCATTCGCTTCCCTTCTTCTCTGTCCCAATTCATGTTTCGTAAATTTTCAACAGTAAATCGTTTATCATACAGTGCAAGGTGTATTATTATGATGGAAAGTTGTCTAGTAATTTTGCTTAGCAGAACCTGAAAATACGGATACTGTTGAATTTCTGTGTGTCACATATCACATTTGGCATACTGTATGGAAAAATCTTTCTAATACTACTGGTGACTTCTCTCAATGAAAGTTCTGAATTGGGTAATTATATAAGAGGGAAATAATTTAAAGATTTATCGGTGCCTCCTAGCTCATGCATTTTAGTGGCCAACGATTTTGATTCTCTTCTCATGCCAAACAGTTTTCCATCTTCTAGGTTACTGCAGGCGTCGCCAATGCGTTCCCGTTACAGCTGGATATCTCAGATGGCGATCATCTACGAGCATGTATCTCCAAGGTACTAAAGGTGGACTTGATGCACGAGTCACTCTACTAGATTGTTACTACCTGTTGATTTAAGAATAGAGAACGTCGAAATTTTTCACGACATGATTTCGAGGGTTCATACGTCGGAATTCGGACGGTGATTATGGTTCTGCAATCGTTTTGTTCATGCACTCGTTCTGAAATGAAAACTCATGTTTATTGTCCGCAGGCTGCCGTTGTTATCAGTTTGCTTCCTCCCGACTGCCATATACCGATTGCAAAAGCGTGCATCGAGGTGCTTTCTTGATTCAAAAAACTCTGCAGTTGTGATGGTAGTCATCCATCATTGTCACCAAATGATTTCTGATTCTCACGTATATGCATTCGTTCCTTTGCAGGAAATAGAAAGTGGTCAAATTGTCAAAACCGTCTATTAGCAAGTTACATTGAAATTCCACTGTACGTAATACGCTCTGCGTCAGATTAGCTCATTCTAAGTAATGAAATTCTTTACGACTAAAACTTCTTGTTTGTGCGCATCGATATGGAACAGCTCAAAAAGAATTTAGTCACAGCTAGTTATGTGAGTTCCGAGATGGAAGCTTTACACGATAAGGCGAGAGAAGCTGGAATTGTGATCCTCTGTGAGATGGGTCTTGATCCTGGCATCGGTGAGTATACGATGACCTGTTCGACGTTTATTTGCATTAGGGATAAGCTCTCTGGCCGATTGTAGAATTCGCTTGATTGGACGTTGTGCAGTCACATCCCTCTTCCCCATTTTTTCAAAAAACAAAAGGAGAGAAGTTCATTCTTAATTTTATTGACGTCTTATATTGAGGGTGCTGTGATGCTATAATAAGTGAGAGGAGTGATCAAGTGCAGCTGTTTATGTTGCAACGGTGCAGCTCATGTAACAGCGGAAGGTCAGGCACCTCGCGGCCCGTATTACTGATCATTGTATGCTTTGTTCGTTGATTTTGAGCAGATCATATGATGGCTATGCAGATGATTGACTCGGCCCATTCTAATGGTGGATATGTGCAATCATTCGTGTCTTACTGTGGTGGGCTTCCGTCTCCAATGGCCGCAAATAATCCTCTTGGATATAAATTCAGGTGCTTCTAGGAGTGTAACCCAAACTTTAAGTCGACACGCAGTTGTGTACAAAGTTGATCCGAGAATGTCACGACCAAATTGTGCAGCATTTTTTCCTTGCATCATTATTGCATACTTGTCTTTAGAAGTAAATAGCAAACTCTTTCTTCTCTCCTCTATTGCCTTTCGTCAGGAGTGAGAGTATCATGATTTAAGGGGGATAGGTTTTTTCGAGAGAGATAGTGTGAAGGGAAAATTGAAGACTTTACTCTCTTCCTGAGGATGCAAATCTCATTGTCTTGGAGCTGTGACAGTACATATGCTAACTCTTTTATCTGGTGTTTCAAAAAATCTAGTTGGAATCCAGCTGGAGCTATCAAGGCTGGACGAAATGCCGCTATTTATAAGGAACAGGGCAAGACCGTAGAAGTTGCTGGTGAGTAGTGTACGACCCAAGAGGTCTCTCAACGTGAACTTCGTCAGGTCACAAGAGAATCTTAAGGCCGCTGAGAACCTCGTCTTAATTGTGCTGGATGTGCAGGAGATGATTTATTTTCATCCGCTGCTCGTCTGAGACTTCCCAATCTCCCGGCTTTTGCACTGGAGAGACTTCCGAATCGGGACTCATTGAAGTACGGGGAACTTTACGACATTGCCAAGGAAGCATCTACCGTTTTCAGAGCAACATTGCGCTATGAAGGTACGCTTAAGGTTGAAGCTGGTTGCTGAAACTAGTCTAGGCACAAGGATATGCCTTTAATTTAGCAAGTACATCTTTCTACGCTCAAAATGTCCTTGGCGATGAGATTGGATAAGAGGCAGCTTAGCCACTCTAGATATCATACACTAGACCCAATAAATATAACCACACAAGTTTTTGGCCTCAAAATGCAGGTTTCAGCGAGATCATGGCCGGCATAGCAAAACTGGGTTTCTTTGACTATGGCGATCACGAACTGCTCGGGGTAGCAAATCAGCGCACCACATACGAGACATTCTGGCGCCACATCTTGAAGGAAATTGTACAGACAGTTGAAGTGAAGAAAACTGAACTCGTACCAGAGAAACTGCTAGGTCTTGGCTGCTGCAGCGACATTGATGCCGCCAAACGTCTCTGGAATTGTATAAAGTAAGTCAGGGACCTTGAGCTCGCGTGCTTCGTTTTGACACGAGCACCGAGTGCTCTTTACTCTCAAACGTGACTGACATTTGGATTTATTCTCCTTCTTTTCTTCACATTATTCGATGTCCTTCCCAAGTATTTAAAAGATAAGACATCCGAAGAAGGGTTCAGTATCTTCAAAACATAATAGCTGAATACGTCTTGTTATGGTAGAACTCTCAAGTAGCATTCATGAATCGATTCCATCTCATGAAATCCTAGCGCTGATTATGTCAGATGGTTTTCCTGGTGTATGATGTCCCAACCAGATGGCTTGGGTTAAACTCAAAGATGGACGTTCCCGAAAGCTGCAGGAGTGCATTCGATGTATTATGCTCGCGTATGGAGGCGAAGCTTACTTTTGCTCCTAATGAACAGGTGAAGACAGAAGTCCTGTCGAACAACTTACAAACCTACATTCTTTAGACACTTTTCCAGAAACTTCTGTTCGCTCACATGTAGGTAGCTCTAGTTAAAAGGGCACGAAGAAATTCGTTTTAAAGAAACTCTTTGATCGTGCACTTGAAAAATTAGTAAGACTACGGCTCCTTCTATTACTAATTGAAGTGCTGGATACGTTTTCAGGATTTGGTTCTTCTACATCATGATCTTGAAGTGGCTTTCAAAGATGGCCGTCCAACTGAGCGGCACACGGCAACACTACTTGCTCTTGGTGAAACAGCCGACAATAGCAATCCTCTGAGGGAACCACATACAGCAATGGCACGCACTGTCGGCTTAACAGCAGCAATTGGAGCACAGGTATGAATGTTCAGTAGGTACTCAGTGTCTGCAGGTTCACCAGAAACCTGTGCTTGGGCAGGGACATATCCAACATCATTAGAGATTTGTTATAAATTGCAAAGTATGTACGCGGCTTGTTTCTCACGAAGTACTTTCGAGGACATGAAGCGAAGTCCAAGTCCTTATTATAACCACAGAAGACGTCTCCCTTATAATTCCTTCTTATCAAATGAGTTTCATTTCACTTTTTATTTGGAGATGTCGTGTTGCTTTGCTGTTCGTTGACATACAGTTCCACGAAGAGTCTTACTACGGTTCATTCATGGAAGATCTTGGACAAGTACTGACTAAGGCGGCTAATATGTCCTTTGTTTGTGACATTAAATATACTTGCAGCTTCTCCTCTTTAATATGGTGAAATCTACTGGAGTGCTTAGACCATTCCAACCTGACATCTACGATCCAGGTTTGTATTGATGACCATTGATCAACTCTCACACTAGTAAAGTTGCTCTTTCGACACTAAATAAGTGAATACATTGTCCAAAAAAGATTGAAATTTAAGTCAGATTCTTGGTGTCTTATTCCTGAAGAGAGTTGACCAGACTTAACCCCATGGATATATACAAGTCTCATGGCTTTATCTTTGTCTTGTTTCACAGCTTTGAAGATCTTGGCTGCCGAAGGCATGAAAATCGAAGAGAGCACAGAGATTATTTGAGATTGGCAAGTTTGCATACCATGGGTTGGATTTGCCCAGGTGGCATTGTAAAATGCTTCTTGAAAGATCTGACATGCAACACATACCGAACTTTGGAGGTTGGAATACCCACGTCGAAGCTTATATGGCACGAGTCTAGAAAAACTGCCAGGCTTTCCGATTTCTTGCCCTTTCCTCTGAGACTAGTCCAAAATTGGATAATTAGCTCGGAAGAAACTACCTCGCGTTTTAACGGTGGATACGTGGGATGCAATCGGACACTCGGCTCACAAATTTGGCTTCCACAACTTTAACCCGTACTGATAAAAAACACAAAAGATCATCGTCACAGTGAATCACAAAATGGGCTATTCTGCCCTCGATTAGAGTTCAAGGTCACGGCGGTGACCCGTAGCCTTCGACTGTCGAAAAGTGCATAGTGTACATTGAAGGACTTGTAAATAAACCTGGTCAATCGGCCAGCCAGGGATGATCTCCAGATGTCAGCAAATGGAGGAATATTCTCGCTGACAACCGTGTTCATAGTGTTGTAGTGATGACCTAGATGGTCAGGCATATGTAGGTTCACAATATTATATATAAGTTAGGCTTGTATTATGGACTGGATCAGCATGGCAGTATCCGCCAGTGCGTCACTGTACTTTAGGGGTTAACATAGTCGCGGAGAATTTGCTCTTTGGGTCTAGTCTAGGAAACTAAACCCATAGAAGAGAGCACGCTTGTATTGTATCGTAATGTGCTCTTAGACTATCGTAAGGAGTAGTCTATGAAACGACACTCATCCTGGAGAGCACGCTTGTACTGTAACATAATGTATTGCAAACTGAATAACACTTTCATCATTGCCTCTATTCTCTGTTCTTTCTTCGTCTTTCTCTCTTGAAGCCGGTGATCTTTGGAAATTGCGTCCTATGAAAGACAGGCTCCTTAACTTTCTAGCCGCTGTACGAGAAAAGTTTGCTCGAGACAGACTGTTCAGTTATAGCTTTATTCTCTCCATGTGTAATCGGTGGATTTCATGAAAAAGCAGTTGATTCATGGAATTTGTTATGGGAATTGCAATAGATAGACATATATTATGACGATAGCGTAAATTTATCTCATTTGGAGCCATGGAGACGTTATGGAGTCACATACTCCTGATGGGTGATTGCCACTGATTGGGCTCTTTCGAGAGGTTGTAATCATGTGACTGCCGAAAGCTCCTAGAATTCCTAAGAACGGGCCAATTTGCACTGATGACCGAACCCGAGCATCAAGATTCGGCCACTCTGCCTCCGAGCAGTGGCAGTAGATTCTGGAACAATCTTCTCCCTTGTCTTGGGGGTTTCCCAAACACCAATCTCGTGGAGAGTTGCTTCGGGACTTTACCCCGACGAGAAACGGGACCATTGATCAGTGCGATACCTCGAGACTTGACGCCGCCATCAACTACAGAGCTGGAAAGTGCAAGATACAAGATGACCCACAGGGATGAGAAACTTGTGATCTACCAACAGCTGTCTGCACAGCCCAGATGCTGAGATTCTCGGCGGATCGGCATCGAACACACGGCAGGATCCGGTCGCACGCTAATCTCCGTCCCCGAAGGTGACGATTCCAAATCAAACGACTGCAGGTACAAAACTAAGTTCGAGATAGCGAGCATTGATCAAAGGGACAGGTAGGAAATGGAATGTGCCCAGCTGAAAGGCAGCTGAAAGTGACCATGTTCTCCTGCCAGCGGTATCGTGATCGGGTGCTGCGAGCTGACGATTAAGTTCTGAACACATCATTCTAACATCATGCATAAGACAATACGATCTCGGTAACTCTATACTTTTCTTTTGCATGAATTCTCGTCCAGGTGCTGCCCAACTACTCCCCTGGGATCGCCTTGCATGCCATGCCTTACAACAAGATCAACTCCGACCTAAGTTCCAAAACCATACGGACACATCAAAGCTGTCACACACATGATGGGCAACATGGGAACCCCAGGCTCCGAGGTCTCTTTCTGCAGATTCCTCAAGTCCTTTAACGAACCTTCAAAAATCATCATTCCTTTATCAAGCTGTGTTTGGATCGTTGCTCGATGGGACAGAAAGAAGTGCGAAATGCTGTCTTCCAATTGACCATCTACTTTGCTATGAAGCTACGTAGTTAGAGAATCAAGGGCCAAGTGGATTAAGCAAAAAGAAGATTGGAATACCTGTTCGGGGGAAAAGGGGCTAGCCCGTTTAGTATCATGAGGAAAAAGCTATCAAACAATATCCAAATTCTTTAGACCGAATGGATACGAACAACATCAGCATCCCACGTTCCATCATGTAATGTGCTCGCTTTACTCTCTTGAGTTTAGCGCTAAAAGTATAGTATTTTGTTTTTTCTTCTTTGGAAATATATGCTCAAAACTGAAAATTATAAAATTTGTTTACGATACCAATTATTGGTATTCAAGACAGTATCGTGTTCATGAATAATAATATGATGAACGTTCTCCGCGCAGTAAAGGAATGCATGGAAAGCTCTGAAAAAACACATCAGGTACCCTCTTCACCATTTATCATGTCCTTTCCACTTCGGTGTCCACTCTAGTTTCCCAGTACTTTACGAGGAGAGGTTTTTCTGTCGTGGAACTTTTGCTTTTATTTATGTAATCTCATAAATATATGATATCTATTGCATGAGTGATCAAATGCTTGACTTGAGACATTCGAAGACCGAAACGTGTAGTTATCTGAGTCGCTACTGTGACTTGAGATCTTGAAAATCTGTTCTGAGTCATGCTACAGAAAATTATTTACTAAATATAGGACACTTGAAAAGATTCTTTTCTTGTTTTCTTACTTTTCTATGAGCAACCATTCTCATTTAGAACCAACTTGTGAGAGAAACCATATTTGCACCCGGTGGAAAACCCTGTGGAGATTACGTTCTGCCCCCGCTCAAAAATTTAATCTACGCTTGTGATGTAATGGAGTCCACCATGCAACACCTCTGGAAAGATATGATTGTATCTTTCGTTACACATCTAGTGTTAAACCGAAGATCTTCTCCCAAGACTGGTCTTGGGAGAAGAATGACTAAGCTATTACACCGATTGCGATGAAGTACTTGATATTATGAAGCATTCAATATTCATTGTTCATTCAAGAGAAGAATTGAGAAGTTTCTAACTTGAAGGACTTCATTGTGAAGATCACGAGAAAATTTCACCCAGAAGATATTGGAAAACTGATTTAAAATATACTCTTTTTCGAATCTAGATAGCTCTTTCTTTTAAATGACGTAAGAATTTACAACCACTTTTCCTGTGGCAGTGTTCGAGTCAAAGTGCTGCTCTAAGACACAGGTAATCCATCAGGAAGCCAAAAAAGACAAATACAAAAAGGTGTCACATCCACAGAAATCTACAGAAAACCCATTGACTGGTATACAAATCTGATCAATGTACACAGATAATGAATACATACCACTGTGTTATATGCTGATCAGGATATGATTTTTTGAAAATGAGTGTACGAACTAACTGGGGACAATGTAAAGACTGTCGACCTTTGGTACATTCTTCGTAAAAATTATCCTGCCAACTCCTACTCTTTAGAAGAAGTTTTAATTCTTATATTGATTTTCTTTTTGTAAATTGAGTAATTTTAAGGAACGAAATATAAAATCAGATATCGGTTGGTACAAAACATTGAACAATCTGATGTTTTCAGAAGGAGTTTTCTGATTTTGTACAATAATTAGCAATCAAATTTTTCTCGAATAAAACGTTTTTTTTTCAAGCTGGATACGACATTGCAACTCATGCCAAAGCTCTCTCGTCACATGATTTCAGAAGAGTCTCAAGTATGGTTATGCAACAATGAAAAAATACCACTGTACATTGTAATATCAATAATTTTTTTGAAACTTTTGAAGTTCTGCACCATTCAAACATAAGTTAATTATAGTATACACAAAACGTAACATACACTTGAAGGGATCCTCCCACCCCTTTTGCCATATTCAAAGGTATCCTTGTGGGATGTACACTAAATGGGTCAAAAAATCCAACTGCCAAGAGGGTAGCATACTAATGAGCAGCTTGTCCGTGGCAAGTACAATTGGAGTTCAATCAAACAAAAGGCAAAGAAATGAAACCACCAGCTGGAGGCATCTTCACTTCTGTCTCCCGAGAGACAAGAACATGTCTCACATATTTTGACACTCAGACCACACTTCAGTTCCCTCGATCACATATTCTGCAGCCCCACAAATCCATAGCTTCCCCTCGGCCCTGCGGTCAAAGATACGGAAGAAAACAAGTCGGAAAATTCAGTGCCACGCAAAAATCCATCGAACTTGTGGTGGGACAAGACGAGCAGCAAGTACGGCACACAAGAGTTGTGCCCTCTGCGCCCTCGTGAGCACACCGCAATTCGCAAATGGTTCCTTCCCGTAGGCACAGTTCTTTTCCGACTGCCGCGTCCCGGGACCCAGACACCGCAAATTTGCAATCTCTTCGGATATTCCATGGAGCTGGAATATTCCCGCTCGTCGGTGGGTGGGCCGTGGCTACCGTCCAGCGCAGCGCAGGTCTGGTCGTCGAGGTCCGGAGGCTCGCTTCACGTACATCCGGACAAAGAAGTCGGATCACGTCACGGTCACGGTCACCGCCCGCTCCGTGACCGTCGCCGGGGTTTAGCGACGCTGCCGAGATGAAGCGGGGCCTGGCCCGGCTTCGTCGCACGGAAATGCCTCAAAATAGAAGCCCTCGGAGATCTACTGCCCGAAACAGTAAGTGGAGTCCTGTGGATTGCATCTCGGCTCTAAATTAGAACCTTCTAACGCCGTGGACCTACAAGTAGCATGCCTGTCTCACGCTTTCGCTACGTCCCCTTAATTATAGTACACGTGGAAAGATTCCGCCATACAATACTACTGAGTAATGCGTTAAAATTGCTTATTTTCCGCCCCATGGGAACGACCACATCGGTTCGGAAAATCACAATGGCTCCGGGTTACAGACGAGTAACGCACATGCGTAGGAAGTTTCCGAACCGCTTGGGAACGCACATGAACGAAAAATTTATCCCTTCCCAAAAAATAATAGTTGGAGTTGGTCAACTTGGAAGAAAATGAACCAGCATTGCAAAAGGAGGCCTGAAGTCTGGAAAGGGAGCACAAAGGAAAAGCCAGATAAGCTTCCAGATGGGCGAGCTTTGCGTCCACAATCGTGGTCCATGGCACTGCATATTCAATGGGCAGCCCTACCGCTTCTTCACGAGGTCGAGTGTTAGCCAGGAACCCAGTGGTGAACAGATTAAACCTGGAGTACGAGCGCCCCTGGATGAACCGGACCGGACAAGACAAACTGCCCTCCAGTCAATCGACATAATTGGAGCCAAAACAAGCGAGAGATGGAGAGGGAGCAGATGACTCGTCCGCATAGTCTGATGGATCATAGGCGCCATGGGAGACGGTCAGAAGATGTGTTGTATTATTGACAGGGAGAGATGTCCAACATGTGCGAACGACCGGGAGTCCCAACGCCTTTTACCCGCAAGTTTTACCGTACCGGTGAGGACAGATCGAAGTACCTACGAGTTCGAGACTCGCGTAGAACCGGTGCGAAGGTCAACTTGCCGGTTGCAGTCGGGTGGGCAAGACCGCCTCGCAGGATAAAGTAGATATCCTCCTGATTCTGGTTGGTTTCACCTGGGTTTGACTTTTCGGGCCCAGAGCGAGAAAATTTCGCCACTTTTCGCACGAAATATGCGGGTAGATCACTTGCTCCCCGAACGGGTAAGAGGATCGAGGAAGATTTGGGCGAAACGAGAGGATGGGCCGAGGGGAACCAAGCAACGGGAAGGCCCCATCGAGTTGGACATGTATGAAACCCAGGGGGCAAAGAGAATTGCGGAGAGGAGAAGGACCGGGAATCGGATGGGGCGTGATGGAGGAGCCGGTGAGAGGAGGACAACAAAGCTGCATGAATGGAATGGAGAAGGTAACCAAACCTGAACCTGAGTGTGGGGTGTAGGTGGGTATGGTTGACCCGAGGTAGGAGGAAAAGACGCCTGCCCGCCCCACTGCCCGCCCGCACGCTCGCTCGCTCGCTCCATGCACGGGTTGCCAACATCGCCACACTGGCACGCGCGGACTTGGATGCCCGTCGCCTTTCCAACACACAGACCGGCGCTGGCGTGCTCCGGGCCCGAGCCTGCGTGGATATGAATCGGCTCGCGCGGCATTGGCCGCTAGTGGCCGCGACGCCGAGAAGGAGTGGCCCTCGGACGTGGACGGTGTGCTGGAGGTGACACAGCATATGGACATTCGGGCGGGCAGTGCTCCTCCTCCGCCTCCTCCTCCCGCTCCTGCTCCTGCTCCTCGTCTCGCTTGCCCTTGTGTGGACGAAGAGACGGACCGGACCGAAGACTCGAGGCAAAGGCAAGGGCAGGAGGTCCGCCCCAGCCGGTCCTAAGCAAGCGAGAAGCGGATCGCGGAAGGACCTCTCGGGCCGTCGAGGCAGGCAAGGAAATCCTCACGCTCGCCTCGGGCCTGCCTGTCGTGTCCTGTCCTGTCCTGCGCTCGGGCTGTGCGCAGAGGGCCGGCCCGGCCCGGCCTGGCCTGGGCTCCCGTTTGCTTGCTCTCGTTGCTAGGCTGCTTCGCTGCCTGCTTCCTGCGATCGCTGCTGGGGCTGGGGCTGGGGCTGGGATCGGCGATGCTTGCAGGGCAGAGAGCTGTGTTTGCTGGCCAGGAGGAAGTCCGAGGCTATCAGATTTTGTAGTAGTGCTCGCCTTGCTTACCTCCCTCCCTCTCTCTCTCTCTCTCTGTCTCCTTCCTCTCCTCGAAGGAGGAACTCACCCAGTCTGGGCTCGTGCTCTGCACACTGCTCTTCCCTGTAGGCACTCTGCATAACTCTCAGAGCACCCCGTGCTCTTCTCATCTGGGAGCGAGAGACAGGGACAACGAGAGAGAGAGAGAGAGAGAGAGAGAGAGAGAGAGAGGCGAGTCTTTGTCTCGTATCTTTTTGCTTTCTTTGCTGCTGCTGCTGCTGCCGGTCCCGTGGTCGCTGCTCTTTGCAGATCCATCTATTTACACGAGGTGCTGGTGAGCGAGGCTCGGATACAGATTCACGTAGGAGGACGTATTGTGTTTGCGGAGGGGGAGCAAGCGGTGGTGGGAGGAAAGGAAGGGGAAGCGGGCCAGAGAAAATCGTGGATCGACGAGATCAAGAGAAGTTTCTGCCGGAGGAGACGATGGTATTAGGGTTGGCATGATGATGGGGGTGGAGCCGTAGAGATGCGAGCGCAGGGGTGCTGATCCCGGACGGATCTCGAACCGGGCGGGGCAGGAAAGTCGCGGAAAAAGGTGTTTGGAGGGGTATTGGTTTCATAATTTTGAGTGCGCTATCAGTAGGTAGGGATGGCAGGGGGATCGACGCAGCAGAACATCAGGAAGGCGCTTGGCGCTATCAAGGATTCGACCAAGGTCGGATTGGCTAAAGTTAATAGCGACTACAAGGTGCGGTGTCCGCTCTCCATCTTAGGGTTTTGGTCCCTTGCAGTTGATCTGTAGATCGTAGATTGCATTACGGATACAGTGCAAGTTTTTGGTTTGCGACGCGGGAGGTACGTTTCTTTGGTGTTCGATCCGTGCGTGCCATGAATGCTATCAGAAATTGGAATGTGCTTAGATCCGGGTAAGATGAGCTGTTTCGATCAGGCGGATGCCCTTGGAAAGAAACGTGTATGACATGAACGACAGTCCAACCTTTTGGGTGTTTTAAAGTCGTGGATTGATGGGTTAAGATTGGCGAATCTGGCAGGATTTGGACATTGCCGTCGTCAAGGCAACAAATCATGTGGAATGCCCTCCGAAGGAGAAACATGTCCGAAGTGAGTGTGGCCATCACCTTGTAACATCATAATTAGCTTTTGGACTTCCGTCTGACTGGATGCCCATGGGGTTGTATTGCATGCCACTGCTGCCTCTAGCGTGTGTTGTGACAGGCTCAGATGTAGGTTTGAGTTTCCCGAGATCCCTCTTTTTGTGACTTCCTGGTAAGCTTTGAAAACTTAAAATTTTGAATTCAAAATACGGAGGATGAATGTATCAGATTTAAGGATCGGTCAAAGGAATTTTTCGACATTGATTTTCTGTTCTGAGTTTGTATCGTGGTGTGTACACAGCTATTTTTGCTGCAACATCCGTGGCAAGGCCTCGAGCCGATGTCGCGTATTGCATACACGCTCTCGCAAGGCGAATAGCGAAAACTCATAATTGGACGGTAAGTTAACTTCTCCGGTTCGTGGGCACTCCAGTTGGTAAAATTTTAATCCGTCAGCCCAGGTTGCAACCAGCATTTATTTCGGGCGGAATTAGTGCCCACTTAGGCTGCCGCTAGCGTTAGTTCAAATTGAGTTGGTTTGTACTTGGGCCTATGGTCGAGGATCTGAGGATGTGTCTTCTGTTTTCTCTCTTCTTGTGTTGATATCTCTTGTTTTTTATTTCATGTCGTCATTATTACTCCATATTTTATATAGGTTGCTTCTGTCGTAATATGAGTTTTGGGTGCGCTGTCACGATTACACTTCTTTCAATACCACAATACACCTTGTAAGAAATCTTGTTAAGTTTCTCTTCGTTTAACTCTACACTTGTTTTTCTCGTCTGATCTCGACCACGGATCTGGCTGAACACGTCTGCTAAGCATCTCACACCAACTTTCATATGCCCTGTGTGCTTCATGGGCGCAATATCATCTGCAGGTAGCTTTGAAAGCTATGATGGTTATACATCGGACTTTAAGAGAAGGAGATCCAACTTTTCGCGAGGAACTCATTCAGTACTCCCGAAGCAAGGGACACATTCTCAATCTATCTAATTTCAAGGACGATTCAAGCCCAAATGGTAGGGCATCAATTCGAACAGTTTGGTGCTTATATTGCCTTGGAATCTCATTAGTGGTCATCCGCTAGTCAAATTCCTGCCAAGCGCTCTCACTCAGTTTGCAACTTTTGTTACTGTTCAGCTTGGGATTACTCGGCTTGGGTGCGGACATACGCACTATTTTTGGAGGAGCGGCTTGAATGTTTCCGTGTACTGAAGTATGATGTGGAATCCGAGAAATCATCAGTAAGTGAATTTATTGGATCTCTTGGTTCTTGAACTTCTAAATAGCACAGGGAAGTTACTCTCTATATCAGCTTAAGAAGGGAATCTTGACTAGCTTTATGCATTTGTGTTATAGGGACACAGCAAGACAAGAGAGTTGGACACAGTGGAATTGCTTGAACATCTGCCTGCCTTGCAGCAACTTCTGCAACGTCTTATGGGATGTCAGGTACAGGGTTTCTGAATTTTGTGTGAATATTTTATCATTTCTACATCCTTTTCCAACAAGTCTTAGAACTTAAATCTCGAGTTTTTCCTCTATCTTCGTGGGTGTGGATGATAATGCAAAGGTCCTGAACATTGATAATGCACGTTCTCTTTGTTACAGCCAGAAGGAGCAGCTGTTAGCAACTATTGTATCCAAGCCGCCCTAGGATTGGTATGTCAATTTGCCTCCCTTTGAAATTCATACTAGAAATTGCCCATCATTTTAGTTGTTGCCTTGTGAGACATGTTGGTGGAGTATTTTGATTGTAACATGCTTACTTCAGCTTAACCAAGAAGGAGGAGGAATGAAGGTACAGGAAGATGAGTATGATCAACTCTAAGTAATTTTGTTAATTGCAGGTGTTGAAGGAAAGCTTTAAGCTGTATCGTGCTATCAACGATGGAATTATCAACTTGGTGGATAAGGTAAACCGTTTTTAATTATCACATGAATTAAAGCATCTCCGTCATTGGGATTGTGAACTTGATGCACAAAGATTAATTTTCGCCAATTAAAGGTTAACTCAGTGTTATCTTCTATGGTCTGCAGTTTTTCGAGATGCAGAGGCACGATGCAATCAAAGCTTTAGACATCTACAAGAAAGCTGGACAGCAGGCAATTTTCTTAAGACGCACCGTACTTCTGTAGAGTCAGGATTTATTGTATTGATTTTTAAAGTTGTCTTGACCATTTGTGCATGGCATAGGGTGGAAAACCTAATTCACGTTGGCAAAGTCCTAGATATGCCCCCTTGATTTTTCATTGACTTTATAGGCTGTTTGAGTACCTTAAATTGGACTTGTAGCTTTTGGTGCATCTTTCTACTGCTTACAAGTGATCATTAAAAATGTTGAGGTTGCTAGCACATTCTCATTTCTATTTTAGCGCAAAACCCTGACTCAAGTTTTCCCCCAACTGAACCTCCATTGAACCTTTAAAAGCCTCGTCTAACGGGTCTTTGCTTTGCAGGCTGAAAGGCTCTCTGAATTCTATGAAGTTTGCAAAAGTCTCGAGCTTGCCCGGAGCTTCCAGTTTCCAACTTTAGAGCAAGTACGTGGAAATTTTGTCCTTGCAATGTTTATGGTTATTAACCTTTGAGTATTTTCTTCAGTAGTCTTGGGGAGCGAGTGGAGAGGAGTTTAACGCAAAGATCTATATTGGGTTTGGGGATGACTGTGACTGGGATGTAGCTCTATTTAGGTCCTGTCTAAACTGAATTCAAGTTGGCGATTTGATTGCAATGGATATGTATTCTCCTCGTACATTAACAAACATTTCATTGTTTCTTGATTCTCCACAGCCGCCTCAGTCTTTTCTTTCCACTATGGAGCAGTACGTTAAGGACGCTCCTCGTGTATCCAACGTTCCAAAAGAAATTGTACGGTGATTTCTCTTCCCACCTTTGATTCGGAAACAGCTGTCTGTGCCGAAAGAATTTTCGAGTATTAGAATCACCAGGATGTTATTGGTTTGCTCTGACGGGGTATTTCCAATCACTCTTTGTGCAGAGGCGTGTTATGGTGCTTTGGTTCACCGTTTTGCAGATTTCCTCGTTCAAGGTCATTAGCCCTAGTTCAGACGTGTCAGTTACACTGTGCTATCGTGTAATGGGAGGTATGAATGGTTTCTAACTCTAGAGTCTGGCTTTTCAGGAATATTACGATGAACGCGGTGGTGCAGGTCGTCTGCGCATCGCTGCTTCTCCTTCTTCTCCTCCTGAATATAAGGATGACCCTGATTATCAGGATGCATCACCTAGAGCCGCACCCGCCCCACCACCTCCAGAGGAAGCTCCTCCTCCTCCTCCTCCTTCCGCACCACCACAAATGGAAACCGACCTTCTGGTATTTTTTCCATTCCGAACGATGAGAAACTAGGATCTTGCGCCATTTTGGATTGCTGTCGAGTGCATGAGAAGGGATCGGTCATTTTCTTGTCAGTGAAGTATATACGTTAGGAAGTGATGTATGTTGTTGACCTTAAATGGCGATACAGTCCGATGACTGAGATGCCAAACACCAGGAAGGAGAAATGGAACTAATTTCCTTTGTGGAAGGAAACAGAATAAGCGAGGGATGAGAGGCCAGAAAGATCGAGGATCGAAAGGGGTCTGAGCTCAGGGAGTGGTTACAAAGGTTGTGCTAAACGAAGGACTGCTCTTGTACTTGTACTTTTCAGGGTCTCGGCGACATGCTCCCAGATGCTAATCATCTAGAAGAACAGAATGCTTTGGCTCTTGCAATCGTTCCTCAAAGTAAGAATCCGATTCTTCTATTTGTCTTAATTCTAAGCTCGAATCGTCAATCGATACGCCGTCTCATACCTCGTCAAGTATTTTACTGTTGAACTCATGCCACTCGTGTACGAGAAGAGCAGTCAAATCAAAAAATCCTGACGTATCCATGCCGATGCAAATGCTTGGATCGTGAATTGACTACCTGGAAACGTTTTTACAGGTGCTTCTGCAAATGGGGGAACTCATGATGCCAACGGCGGGGTGGATCTCTCCAGTGGTGCTACAGGTTGGGAATTGGCGCTTGTCACCACCCCAACAACTGGCAATGGCACTACAACGGCCAGTGATCCCAACCAAAAATTGGTATGGAATGGAATTTCTTTAGTCTCTTTAAATGAGATCCTACCTGTATATCCTTCTATCTAAACGGTAGAAATTGTGAGATTGTTTTTACGGGCAAGTTTGGTGTCTTCAGTTTAACGAAAGTGTCACTTTTCTTATACTAAGCTTTCACATTTACCACAGGCCGGAGGACTTGATAAACTTCTCCTAGATAGTCTGTACGACGATGCGATGACACGACGTCCGAACTCGTACGGACAGGCACCCAACAGCTATAACTCTCTTCCTGCTGGTGCACCCAATCCATTTGACACCGGCGTTGCTCCTCAAGATCCCTTTATGGCCTCGCGAGGTGTCGCGCCACCACCAAACGTGCAGATGGCTCACATGATGCAGCAACAAATGATGATGCAGCAACCACCCCATATGATGGGTGGTCAGCCTCCCAATCCTTTCGGTACCCCATTCGGCGCTGCCCCCATTGCCCCTCAGTTTCCTGGGGCCCTCCCTCCGGGCACTCCACCAAATCAGATGGTTCCTTATGGTGCTCCGGCCCCTCAATTCACAAACAATCCGTTTGGAAACCCAGGATATCTGTGATTTTGTGTTCATTGTTGAAAATTTCAGAAACTACTCTGTATGTACTTGTGGTGGTTCCACTAATATTGATTTACTCTGCACTATCTGAAGGACTTCTACCAAGCAGCACATAATGTCACGGACATGAAGTTCAGTTACATGAGCAGTCCACAGACTAGGAAACCAGAAGGGATGCCGACGTTCTGGCCTGGCACTCGGACTTTCCTGCATTATCTAGTGAACTTTCAGTCTAAAGCTGACATGATGTTGAAGACAGCCTGGACTGAAATCCTGCACAAGTGTGTGACTCTTCTGTCACAAGATAGCTACATGTGGGGAACCTGGCTCTGTACTTTGAGGAGGCCTGCAGTGATCACTCAGGTGATTATACCCAGCCCAATGGGGGCTTATATGTGTTTCAGAGCAATTAGATGTAGGTATCAGTTGAAGGTGATTCTTTTCGTGGGGCTATAGGTGAGCCGGGGCTGCAACTTAGGATAAGATGAGTTAAAACTGGCTGATTGCGGATGTTGTAGATGGGATGTCGCAGGAGACTTGTATTATATTCTATTTTTAATTATCACATCATTGTTTACATCCAGCTCTTTTTGCGCCGGTGATGTGACTCATGCAGTGAAAGCATATGCTGTTAAGTGTATGACATTAGTTTGAGATGAGAAGTTGCATACTCACCAGACATAACTTTTGTGGTCGCTATGGGTTGCAAGATTCAGCACAACCATAAGCACCGGATAGTCAACAATGTCTCTTCCCCGCTGATTTCTTAAGCAGCTCCATGTGTGGAGTATTGACCTCGTACCTTTGTGGACTACCCGAGTGTGTTCTTTTTATACGACTGGATATTGATTTTACTCTTCAAACGATATGTCCCTTTGCTATCGTCTTGTGTTCGTGTCTACATGATTCTTATTGGAATGCACTCATGTCACATGGCCTGATTGTGGTTTGTCATTTTAGCGTGACATAAAGTCCACCCGTCATTGGTGCAAGGCTAGCAAGTACTGATCACTTCGTTATTCCTCACATATATGCAATCAGTTGACTCTTGTTGTAAAGGCCAGAGTGGATTGCTTTTGTAAGATCGCCGGTGTCCTGTCAGGTATTCGGATTTTGCAACCGTCGAGGAGAAATGGAACTCCTGGCCTACTCCGGTCAAGTCTTTCGCGATGCCAGTCTGCTCTCCGACATCAGTTGAGTATCTGCCAGGGGTACACGGTGTTCGATGGCATCGGCCAAATGCCGTTTGTTTCCCCTCGGGGCCCGGTGGAAAAGTGGTACTATCACCTCCGGAGCCTGGCTTGAAAAAGTTAAAGATTAGACTCGACATCCAAGGTTTCGTAGTGTTTTAACACGTTAGACGTCACTGATGCCATCTGGCACAATGGCACTGGGCTCTACGGGGATAAGCATGTCGTTCTACGGTACGTGGTCCTATCGAGGTCATCAGATTCGCCTCTGTTGACAACCAGTGTTCATAATCCGAACCATCAACAAAGACATCAGATTCGCCTCTGTTGACAACCAGTGTTCATAATCCGAACCATCAACAAAGACATGGCGCGTTATACCTGATCCAAGCTTGTGGTTTTAGAGAGATCGTGTGACTTACAAGCCGGAGGCAGCTGAGTATCGTCCATGTGTGGGCTTTTTGGACAGACCTCTGTAAATAAGTCAATGGAACTGACTATCAAGGGAAGTCTCACACCGAACCAAAGTAATTTGTCGTCACAGGTAGATGTTTACAGCCGTCGAACGCTGGCCCTGAGTCACCTGCCATGCAGTCTCTGCTCCTGTCTGCTCCAGCAACTCCACACACTCCTCAACAGTGGTTGAAGTTGTGTTGTCCTGAAATAGTGTTCTACAGCCAAAGAGCCGGCCAAATCATTGACGTTGCTTTGCTAATCCAAGTACAACAAAACATCGATGCAGGACGACTGAACTCTCGACCAAAGTCAGGAATGTCTGTGCAGGACAGAGACAGTGAATCTCCCTGAGAAACGGTTCCACGCGAAGGCCCGGTCGTAGTCAGCTGGAACGAGTCTGACTGGGGTCTCTGTTGGACCTGGTGCAGCTGCTGCATGTAAACCTGACGGGAACAGCTGCAACCGTCATGAGGTCGCTTTAACTTTACAGTATGTCCATAGTCCTATTTCCTTGTTTTTTCCACACGAAAGCCTGCCTAACTTTGCACCTCCAACACCTTGAATTTGCAACAGGCCAGTAAACAAAGGAAAATTCTGTTAGTACGTTCGCTCTCTGATGTTGTCTCTGAATCAGCTCATTGATGGTTGGTATCCATTGTGTACGAAAATAAGGTGCAACTTTAACTTTTTCGAAGACCAGTTTTGGTCAACAGAATATTGCTTCAGTCATCCAAGGAAGAAATTTTCCACAAAAGCATGCACATTAAGTTAAAAGAGGAAAATACGCAGTAGCTACTTAGAGATAAGGTCGTATGCAGAGGACCTGACCTCGATTTGACTCTTGGGTGATCTGCGGGCAGGCTTCACAGTCTGCTATGGTGAACTCGTTCTCGAATTTCAAGAGAAATTTCCGGCGGATGTCTCTCGCATGGTTATGGCCAGACCATTCACGTTTCCTCGTGAATAAGCGGACTTGCTAAGATGGTACTTCTCAGGCTACCATTACATCTTCAATGTTCGGATATTCTAGATGCCGTGGTAAATATTTGTCATCGCGATACCGTGGGGTTAGACTTTGGTTAGGTTTCAACCTGGTACGGGTAATAGGTTCTCCAATCCTGTGTACGGTATCCTTTGGCTTCCCGTTCAGTTAACTAGCGCAGATCGAAGCGAAGTTTCCTTTCTCTTGAATTTGGTTTCATGCTCTTGAAGTCTGAAATTTCTCGCTAAAATTTAGTCTTGAATAAAGACAAATTCCATTGGATTTTTAAAAAATATGCCTACTGCAATGCGGCAACATGTTATTGAAAATTTTGGAAGTGGTGTACTATTTTGTTCTAAACTACTTTTTTCATTTTATGAATATTTGCCCAAGTTGGATTGATTTGTGAAAGTACTCATTTACATTCTTGTGCAATAAGCGTTAAGAAGGAAAAAGTTGGGTTTGAACTGTCACTCCTTATTAAGAAAGACTTACTATTATTTGTATAATTGTGCTAACTTCATATATTTACAATGTGTGAATAAATTAAACCATTTAAGTATATATGAGCTTAAATACTTTAAATGAATCATTTACACTTAACTTCCTGTATTTAAAGTTTTTTTGTATAACTATTTAGTTCAATGCAATATTTTATGATCTTTATCTTTATCAGGCGTACAAAAAGATTCCAAAATTCTCAATCGGATCGATTGGTACAAAGAAGAGACAAAACAGATTTTTGAGATTATGTATTTTGAAAAGTTTGATCAGACATTCCCATCTATTTGCCAACCATTTGTCTCCCATTTCGTTTTATTTTGCAGCTAAATTATATTCTTTTATCATTAACAAGTATCAAAAAAACTATCAAATATTAAAATTTATCTACTTTTTGATTAATGATCAAACTTCTATAATTATCACGACTAAGATTATAGTCTTAGTAAAGGTAAAAAAATAAAGTTATCGTATTTTATTTCAGTATAATTTTTTATATAGTTTAAGGATTGTGAGTAGGCACATAGACCTTTATTTTATAGGATTAAAAAATAAAATATATTTAAAATAATCCATAAATATCATTTATATTATCTTAACTAATAAAAAACATTAGAATTGTTCGTTTCTAAGAAACTTTGATTCAGTAACATTCATATTCTAAATTTAGATATAATAAAATTCATAAATAGATATTCAGAAATTTAACCTTTATTTGAAAATTTGACACCAATCAAATATGTGAAATATAAATACTTTCTTTATAATAATTTCATTTTTTCAAATCTATTATATTTTACATCATAATAAGATTTCAAGAGTAACCAAAGTTCAACCTCTACAAAAATATTCAAAGTTGCTTGGAAGTTTTTGAAAAAAGTTGCTTCGAAAAGAGTGTTTTTGATGGACAAACGTAATTGATATTCTATTGATATTCTATTCTCTCTCTAGTCTATTTTATTGGATACTCAAGAAACATAAACATCCAAGTAAACAACCCCTTATCAAAAAATAAATACTTACAGCTTTGAATGTACATTTTAAAAACTTTTTAGTGATTCTAAGAGAAATTAAAAGAGAAAAATTATTGAATTGTGTCATAATCATATTCAATTTATATTCAATTTAAATACTATATTCTTCCTGGATTTTGCACGTACGCTTCATGGATCTTGATAGTACTTGTCAAAAGAAGTATTAATAAGTATAATAATAAATATTTTATCAGTACAAGGAGGTTTCTGCATGAATTTTATTTTAAATAGTCTTGAGAAGAAAATTAAATAAAATAATATTATTTGATTTAATACAATAATAGAGAATATTAACATGTCAATTCTAAAATTTACTGAAAAGCTATATTATAATAGTTTAATTTTGCAAATCTCAATTTGGAAAGTTGCAGTTGCACTACATGTGCTTCAAATTCAATCTTGTTTACAACACATTGCTGTAAGACTTGAAGTACGGCTATTTTAAAGAGCCAAATCTCACATGACATATGAGAAATGAGATTCTTAAAATGGTAAATTTCATGCGTATTAGTTTTAAATTAATACTACAGTTGATGATAATTCAATATATATTCAAAATAACATGTACATAATCCATAAAATTATACATTGACACTTAAGTTAGAAATCTGAGTACTTTTAGCAAAAAAAATGTAGTATTTTAAACAACTGATTAAGTTGAAAAATTTGGATATATATGTAGATAATTTTGTTGTGAATTTTTTTCAAATGTATCTTAATATATATGACAAAGAAATATGTAAGTACATAATATCATATTCTAAATCTGAAATCAATAAGGTACAGATTCCATGTAAATCGATACTTGTACCATATGTTTCCTTAAGATGAGCATACAAATATGGGGATCGTGATGGATTTGAAATTCTCCAATAGTTTGAATACCTGTCAACTAAGTTAGAGTATGGTTTCTGGTCCTGGAATTGACTTACCAACTCCAAATCCACACCTAAGGATTCTCCCTGTACAGTTATCATGATTGGTTTTTTCAACAAGAAGTTGGCTTGTTCCTACTTTGGAAATGAACTACAAAACAAAATTTGATACGGAATTCTAATTAAATGTGTTGCATCGTAAGTGTAGGCATGGCAATGCTATGACAATCCTTTCACATCTTCGAACCTTGATATGCAACGGTGGTTGAGAAACTCAATTTATTGGCTTATATGTGGGCTACTTTATCGAGTACTGCTGGATCAAGGTCATCAATGTCAATGTCCATGTCGTCCCTATCTCGTTTATCGAGAGGACCAACTGCCAGAGCCTCATACTCCTAATCATTTTGCAGTAGTCTACTGCTTGACATTGAAAAAGAGATTCTGAATAATCACATGCGTTGAGTGATCTCAGCTAACCCTGAGGAGGATCCCTAGATCTTCTCATGACCATGTTTCGTCACTTCCTCACAATTTTATAGGTGTAATCCTCGACACTGTACCCCATCGCGGTAGACATCCGAGACCAACGAACACCTAGAAAATTACCATCGGAACCCGATGAACAGCGAGGTCGGTAGTGGAGACACCTCTTTATTTATGAAATCAAGACGGCTAAGCCAAAGAACCTCTGTTCCCCTCCGGAGCATCTGCGAAGGCAACAAGCACCGCCATAGTCATGCCCAATAATGCCTGTGCTAATCAGTCGATAACGGTGTTATCAAACATATAACACTTCATATACATACACGTCGTCATCATTCGATCCATCGTATGATTCCACGGATGAAGATCCCGAGTAATATTAGATGAAAAGGTCAAGTCCTCATACCTATACTTGGTCATTATACCTATACTTTCACTCAGATGGCCAGGGGATGAGAAAAAGGAAAAGAAAAAACAAAAATCTGGAAAGACCTCACCAACCCAACAAGGATGAAATCCAGCAAAGAATCACGGAAAAGGCAAGTATAGTATCACAACCAAAACTAAACACTTAAGTAGATTATAGTAGAGATTACAACCTTCGTATTGCGCTACGATTACATGAACTAAATTTGACATGATTTTGAACTGTAGATTATCGATACTGAAGCCAAGTAACCGGAATATAAAAGTGAGTAAAGAAAAAACAATTTTCTTTGTTTTCAGCTTTGGAGCTATAAGGAGCAAGTTAACATGTTCGCTTTTCTAGAACATGTATAAGAAAGAATGCTGAGAGTCTGTTGTAGGCCTATGATATCATACACGCAGATTCCAAATATTTTATTGTTCTGAAACTAGGACTAGAAGAAGGTGACAACATGAGTCATCTTCAAGCTCGACCATGCAACAATATGGGAACCATTTCCCTTACAGATTACATTTCTCCTGCAAATATTTTAATTTGGAATCTCAGATTTACAAACTAATAAGAATCAAAATACCACAGAAAAATATTTCAAATCTAAAAAAATGATTCAGAATCTTGAATATAATAAAAAATATCCCATAAACGATTACTTTTTATTACTGATTGTTATTAGCAATGACAAATGGAAATATATTTGTATATATGAGAGTTAAAAATATCTAATTAAATTATGTGTAGCTTTTATTTATAATAAATAAATAAATAAAGTTCAATGATAGACTCCCATTCCATCGTAATGATAATTTTATCATTCTAACTTGCCTGAGTGTATTGATATGTACTTGTACTCAATCACTCATCAGGATATGTTCGATCAATGTAAAAACTAACTTTACATATATTTAGATATTTTTAATTCATCTACCTAATTAAAAATAATGAATACAGAATAAAGCGAGCAATATCAAAGACTTATTACTTTCAAAAACATATGTTCGTATAGAAAATATCAGTTGATAAAAGATCATATGCACAAGCATTCATTTCATAATATTAAGAATTCTGACTATTTCTGAAATTTATATTAAAATTTGACTTAAAAAATTGCAAAAATTTATTATTATGTTATTTCACATAAGGTCGTCATTATCTGATTTTATTGAGTTTTATGAAATATCTAATCAGAATAGCTATAATCATAATATTGTTAAAAACTATCAACAAAATGATAGCAAAATTTAAAATATAATTTTGATATATAAAATAAATAGAATTTCATAGAATTTTTCATTAGAAAAAGCTACTCATAATTAAGTGTATTTAAAATAAATTTTCTATGATGAAATTTGTTTGACATGAACTTTTTATAGATTTCATGTTAGACAACGATTTGATCTTGCAATTTAACATAATGCATGAATAATATCTTCACATCATCATTATAAATTTTTTACATATATATTTTGGTAAAATTTTCCCTTTTTTATCTTATAATTATATGGTATAAATTATGGAAAATAATTTAAAAGATAACTGAGATAATATATCTATTGAGCATAAAGCTACCTTTGAGTAATAAAAAGACATTTGTATTTTTGTTTGATTTGTGTCATCTTTATGATTGAATGACCACGGAACAATTTGACAATGATCCATTTGTTACATGTTACAATGCATTACATCGTACTAAATTGCACATATAGATACACAAAAGAAGTTACAAGAAAAATGAAGAAAAACATTTTCTATCACCATACAATCAAAGATAGTATCAAAATAATTACAATTCTGAGAAGAGAGATTTGAGTGTCTGTTGGCTAGTTTAATCATATACATCACAAAACTTGTATCAATTATTATGTGAAATTATGGATTTATGAAATATAATTTTGATAAAAAAATAAAAGTAAAAATATGATTTTAGTAGTGTAATTTCTATTATTCCTTGGAAATATATGGAAGGGAAATAAGTTAGAAATAGTAGATAGGTGATATATTTTCAATAGTAATTCTAGGCCCATGTTACCCCACCGGTTCCATCCACGTAGGATTGGATGGCTTGGTCCGTACATTTGGTTATCTTTGTACTGGAAAGTTTTCTGTTTTAAGATCGCAGATTGGCATCGGTGGGATCGGACCTTAACGAATGACCTCATGCCAGCGTGGGACAAAAGCTTCGAGACATGGATGGGACGACTGGGTCAGCAGCCTGGCCTCGTCACTAAGGGCTCCCCACTTTCGGGGGAACGCGAGCACTGCCCGGGAGGGCTTTCTGCCCGCCAGGGCCCGATGCCAGGCGGTCCCTGGCCCGCAGCCCCGCTCCCGCTCGACCATCGGGCTCCTCCCTCGCGGCCTCCCTTCCCCGCTGGGAACTTGTGCTCTGTATTTTTGTCTACTCCCCTCACAAAACTGTGAGCATGTTTGGGGCCTCCCCTCTTCTTCCCCCAAAAAAATCTAAGTCTTTTTTTTGCAAAGCCCTCTTTTCTTCTTACTTCTCTTCATAAAACTAAGTGACTGGGAGCCTAGTTCGAATAATCATCAGGAAAATGTGGGCTTCTTGGAATCCTCCATGAAGATCATCTACGGGTGAAGGAAGTTTATGAAATTTAAGTGTGAGAAGAGGATTAACTGCTTACAATATAGGTTTTGGATAGACGTGCTGGCTTGAGGAAATTGAAGATGAATGCTTGAGTTCAGAGATTTGTATGTGTATTCTTTGAAACCCAAGTTCGTCTCGAATGGGATATATGAACATCTGTTACGTCATGTGGTGACAAAAGCTAGCACTACGTAATGATCGTCGACTTTTTTCCTGTAGAGAATGGGTTAAGCATGATCATACAGGTAGCTCAAGCTCCTCTATATCTAACTCTTACAATAACAGAGTCATACCCGTAAGAAGTTTCAACCCGATGGACAACGTCTGCAAACTTACTTGATTGATATCCAATCGGATGCCGTTGATTTCTTCATTCGTGCTATCTGTTTTAAATTTTACACTTGAAACTGATCTTTCGCAACGTGCAAAGAACTGCCAATGTCCTTATCTTTCTTTGCCGGAATTGCTCGGGATCGGGCGAGCTGGAGCGGGGCGGCCCTCCCTGGTCGAAGCGGGAGGTCGGGCCGCGGTCCCGGGCCCGGGCGGGCAGTAAGCTCTCCCGGGCAGTGCTCGCGTTCCCCCGAAAGTGGGGAGCCCTTAGTGACGAGGGCAGCCTGGGGGTGGAGGTGGGCGCGGCAAGTCCCATCCTTCGGGCAGTCACAATAATTGCTCCCCACGTAGACCGACTCACAGAATTAGCCAACACGTAGAGCCACGCGCAAGAACACGTACAGATGTCTGCTCCGCCTCTCGGCCTTGCACGCGTAATTTGCCGATCGAGCCACCACCGAGCACCGGCTGCAGCAGGTGGGCGGCCCAAGTTTAGTGCCGTGAGAAGCAATCCTGGCGACCTCGGAGGCTGTCCGGACAGCTGCAGAGTCAGGAGGACAGACCGCTGGTAGCCACGGGTAGCGACCCTCTGCCTTCCACCGGCTGATCGGGTTATATCAACTCCTCGGCGGTGGTCGTCGTTCTCTGACGTTCTTGGATGCGTGCGAGTGAGCTCGAAGCGCGTCTCCGAAGAAAGAAGGGCGACGCATCAAGGCGCCACTGCTTCGGCTGATGCTGCTGGAGGTCTTTCTGGACGTCTTGCACCTCCGCTCGGGAACATCGCCAGGCGGAAAGTTGGTTCGATTTTCCGATGCCATGAACGCATTCGGAAGGGCTGCCTGCGGCTGATTCGATATTTATTCCAAGCTCTCCGGATGCCAGTCTTCTGTAGTGCCTGCGGTTCTTGAAAGTCTCGCTGCTCGGTACGTGGGTTAATTTTAGCTTAATTCCATCCTATCTTGGTTGGTTAAGCCTGTAGGGTTGTTAGTTAGTGTGAGGAAGAAGCAAAAGTGTTTCTCGTGCTAGCTAGAGTTTAGGCCTGGAGTAGCATGGCAGAATCGGGAAAGTAGCCGTCTTTGTCGTGTATCTATGCGGTTACTGGTTTGTGCAAATCGGGTTCTGGTTGAAAGGAATTGGGGGATGTGGAGTGGAGTGGAGTGGATTGGATTGGATCGGTGAAGGAAACTTCGGTTGCGAGTGGAGCTGTGGTGGTTTGAGGGACGAAGAATGATGTGATGTGATGGTACGTTAGAGTCGTTATGTGCGAAGGCGAACAACGTTACAGAAGTGTGGAGCCGAAGCAATTCTGTACTCGGTCATGCAGTTTAGTTAGACTTGTAAAACAAGGCCTGACTTGGCACGGCATCGTCGTTTTCCGTATGTAACGTGGTACTTTACTTGCGAAGCAACTTATTCGATCGGATCGTAGAGCTCTTGGTTGGATTGTTACAACAGATTGCCCTAGAGGAATAATTTTCTTCACTCCGGAAAGGCAATCTGCACTGCAAGTGCGAAGGTAAAGCCCACTTCTCTACTGACTCATGCAGTGAGAAACCAGTTTCCAGCTCACTGAGCAGCAGTATAGGACTTCAGACAGTGAAAACTATATACAATTGTGAACCGTGCGTTCGAAATAGCTGTTACACAATATCAGCAATTGCCCAGGTACTGGATCCAATCGCGGTCTGTAAATTTTGGAATTGAAGGAGGCATACGTTAGTGCTCAAATAAATCTCATCACTACGATACTTCATTGTTTCTACCGAAAGTGCATCCTCCTACAATGTTCGCTCTTGTTGGAAAATGCGTGGGAGCTAGTGTAGGGTTGGAATGCTCTGAGGCGCAAAGTACTGCCGGGTCCTTGGAGTATTGTCGGCAAATTACATGGTATTCTGAATAATCTACAGAAGAGTAGCATCCGCTGATTATCCGCTGATTATGCGGAGTAGCTCTTATTGTACACATGGCGTTTGTTCTACAAGGCTTTGTCTACTAAGATAATTTTGAGAAAACGGTTTCATCTTGGCTGAAGTTTTATCTCATGAACCAACTCCTGTTAGTAAAGAGGAAAGGCATATATGGTATGTTTGATCCCCGGGGTGGATGTTAGGGCGTGAAGGAAATTAGAATCTTGCGTGCGGATTTCCAATATTTGGAGGTGTGTCTGACTGAGCATGTGGTGCAGGAACTAAAAAGAAGAGCTCTGTGTTTTCCGTGATTTGGAGGCTGAAGTAGGAAGTGGATAGGCGGGCGTGATTCATTGATTTGGAACTTCAGTTTGTGATTTTCGATGCAAACAACGAATCAAGTCCGCTGTAAGTATTCAGCTCTATAAGCATTTCGTCCATGTTTCTTGTTTCAGAATCATAGTTCGACTGACTCAATCACTCGATGTCGTCGACTTTAGTAAATTTTTTCAATTGCAGCTTAGAAATAATCTAAGTGGATTGAAATTAGCCCAGCCTTGCTCTGAATTTCTGACAGTATGTGTTGCTCTTTGACACGAGATGAAAAAACATCTCTCTTCTTATTTCCTCTCCCTGGTTTTTGACGTATGACGTCTGTGGGGGTCCTTGTGAGGTTGCCAGCCCTGAGAGTTGTGTACAAGATTTGGGAACGAAAGTGCTGTCTTATTTTTCATCATCGTATTCTCTTAAATTTCAACATTACCCGTTAACGCAATATTAATGCTGTGAACAAAGTTTGTAGTTTTCAGGAAGTTTTGATGGATGTGGCTCCAACCCTAAATCAAGAGAAAACTGGAAACCTCCGTCGTGAAACTGGAAAGTGGAGAACATTGCAGTCAGGAAAGCGGAAATACTCCACTTCCAGTTTCACGTCTAGAGAAGCTATAAGGTTCTACTGGAATTTTTTATTATAGCCGCTGAAATTGTCCAGCCTTTGTGTGCAACTCGCATCAGTAACCTCAGGATATCTGCTGTACGCTTTGCAAGATCAATCAGGAAGCCACAGCTGGCATTCAGGTTGAGCTTTCATCGATGCTGGCAAATGTGCTTTTACTTTTTAGTAGTCATTAACAATTTGTTGATCCATAGAAGGTCTGGAGAGTTATCGATATAGCGTCAAAAGAGCGAGAAAGTGATCTTGGACATGGACAACCTAAAGTCGATAATGCCGTTAGTTGTGAAAGGGTTTAAGGATTGGCATTGGCCTCCCTAACTTTTTTCACTCCAGTAATTGCTGATGGCTGTTTAACCTTCGTTCCCTCTGGACAGACGTTTGAGCTTGAAAAATGCCGGGATACGTTAGAACCTCCGTACAAGATGTTAACATGTGGTTTCACCTTTATGGCCAACTCCAGGGCCAACACGATGAGCACGTGATTCTTTTCAGGAAGTGCATTCGCTTGAAGAGTAAAATTTTTGAACAGAATAATACTATTCTTCCTGCCGGATGGTACCGGAGGAGAACAATTTGGCAGATAAAAGTATAGGAGTCAGTGAGATGAGGTTTGTATTGTTGCATGATATAGCAGTCCTCTTCTGCCACTAGAGTTGAAATTTTTCAAGTCACTTTTGAAGTCCAACTTAGCATAACTTACCTATTCTCCTTTGCCTTCGAAGATAATAAAAAGCATCTGAAGATCCTCCTTTCTGCTTTTGTGTAAATTTTCCCTTATATTCGATTCGAATTTAACACGTATTCAAAGAGATTCTTGAAGCGCACACTACAAGCACCGCACAGCAGGTTGTCTTGTCTAGACATTCAAACTTGAAGGCTTGGTGTATGCAGCCTGCACAATGTTTCTTTTCAAGAACATAACTCTCAATAGCACTTGTGATGCAGTTGATAGCGACTTGGTGCGTTGGGGTCTCCATTTGCTCGATGGTGGAGGGAGTTTATTTCCACCCTCAAGTGGGAACAACACAGCAAGCCAAACTTCCAACCCTTCATATGAAAGCAGCACGACCAGTAACTATTACAACTACGCAAATGAAGGTCTGGAACCCAATTCCATGGCTAGATCGCCTCGTCAGAGCGTTACCAGTGATGAAGTGATTGCTCATGTTCTGCAAGAAGAGTTGTCAAGCCTGGCCGCCGCAGAAGAAGGTGCACAAAGCAGTGCAGGATTGGTTGACAACAGTTCGAAGTCAACAGTTTTGAGTCAGGATTGGGTACCCAAGTGGGGCTCTGACAGCGCAGGTTGTAGTGCAGGAGCCACAGGAAGAGAGTCTGAAGACCCAGGGTATGGAACAGCGGGTGTTTATCAAGATAGTGGGTTGTCCAATCACTTTCAGTCTCTAGGAGTTGAAGAGGAGGATACGATGGCACCCCGACGAGCCGGAACTCCGGACTATGAGGAATACCAACATGGCAGTGATGATGAATTCAACCTTGCCATTGCCCTTTCTAAGTCAGAATTGGCTTATGATAGAGAAGTTCGCAGACGTCTGGTGGGAACATTTACACTTGACGTAAGTTTTGTAATCCTTAAACTTCTCTGCTTTGAAAAGAATTATGGAGTGGATCAGTTGCGAGCTCTGTAATAGGAAGTTTGCCTACATCTATGCATTTGTCTCATGAAGAGTTTTGATTACGAAGGCACAAGCATAATTGCTAATTCTCCTTTGGTTCGGTGAAATCTAACAGCACTCGCCTAAAGTAAATACGGCCTTCCCAACGATAGATCAGGAAAAAGTGGGTCACCGCGAACTTAAGAACAGGTTTTTTTCAACCTTCATGAACGTAAATATATCTTTGAACGCTGCCATTGTCTTTACAACCTCTCTGATTTGTTGCCGACAAATTTTGCGATCACGGCGCAGATCCTCTTGATGTGAATTCTCTTAAGCGGTTTCACGTTATAAGCTTAATCATGCAGTTAGATGCCAGGTTCTTTATGTTCGTTGGTGCAACCCAAGAACGTTAATTTATACGCTGAGTTATGGAGCAGGTTGGACCTTGAATTGCTTTAGATTTTCCAGACCACCGTTCATGTGTCACCCGGAAATGCCGTTGAGTCGCACCTCACTCTCGTGTGGATGATTGCGTTCATCAGGTTACGTCAGTTTGGTTTGAAAGAACGGCAAATAATGGGAGATGGAAATTGTCAGGTTCGTTTCTCACAAACACATGTGGTGTATAAGGTGCCAAATGTTGTGGGTAGTATTATGCATTGGAGCAACTCCTTTAAGATTCACTCAATCTTTGGTGACTTGAGATGTTCCTGGACTGATGTTTCGACTCAGCGATAGGCCCGTATCAAGTTGTATTGTCTATATTCTAGTGACATGAAAAAAACATACATCAGACTTGATAGAGAACATCAACTTCGTTAGTTACGGGGATGTGTGAAGACACCTTCCTTTGTCTCGGGAATGTTAATGCTAGGTATTATGCTCGTCTGTAGTTTTTTGGGGAGATAGGAGAGAAAAGTATCTTTAGGCATCTTGTCAATGAAGTGACGATTTCCTGACATATGTGGTGCGACATTTTTGTCGTAGTTCAGTTCAGAGCTGTGTCCGATCAGCTTTTTCGGTCACAAGACTATCACAAGTATGTGAGGAAGTGTGTTATAGATCAGGTAAATATGAGCAGACATGTTATTTTCGTACAGTATTAGATATTTGTAATGAACCAATTTTCCACTGTGGTCTGTTGATCCGTACCTCTGTGCTCAATGGGTTATAGTTGTTTACTATGTTCAACTTCATGGAAATTGAAGTAGGTTTGTCGTTTTTCCTATGTCTCTATGTATGCCTAGTATTTACCAAGAATGAATTGAATCCGTTGTCTAATACGAGCGTTCTGATCTGCAGTTGAATGCTAAACCGGATTTGTATCGAAATTTTGTGCCCGGGGATTATAATGAATATGTCAAGAAGATGGCGAAGTAAATACAAGAACCACCCAACAATCTGTAGCTAGTTTGCCTTTCACTTTTGTGTGCTGTTGAGATATTATTCAAGCAATGTCCTCCTACTCTATACTGGCCTCAGATGGAACGAATTGGTATCTTTCATCATTTTCAGCGTTTTTGTTCTTGTAGCTCCACTAAATACATTCTTTCTACGGCTCTCGTTGATAAAAACTTGCGATGCACATTTTCGTTTGTTTCTAAATGAACGCTCTCACATTTTACAGTTTTTTCAGTAGTTTCAGCTGAAAAGTATCTTCTTGATTCATAAAAGTTATGTAATATTGCAGGCTTGCCGAATGGGGTGATCATGTAACTATACAAGCTGCTGCAGACTGTGTAAACTTTCTCCAAAACTTTTTCGATGAACTAGAACATTCTGTAATCCATTCTCGACGAATCGCTTTGTATCTTGTATTTCACTATTTATTCCTTGCAGGTTTGTATGGTTTTTGATGCATGTAGAAGAATAACATGATTTGAGTTTAATTTAGTTTGCAGACGCTGTCAGGTTACAACCGTTTGTCCGGATAATTTTATTTTTGTTTCCCCCTTTTTTTAAAAAAATATCTCTCTGCTCAGAGTGTATTGGGTATCTGTTCAGCTATTATAATAGCTGAACAGTACACATCATCTATCGATGGAGAAGAAAAAAGTGGACCACACACAATTATCTGGATTTGGTTTAGACTTTATTTCTCAAGATTTATTTTACGTCATGCAGTTTGGAGTAACCATATTTATTATGACGTCTTACATGGACGGTAGTGGGTGTCACAAAATATTGCCCCGACCTCAAGATGGTGTCCATATCAGTGAACGAGGTATCGCTTTGTTACTTTTATTTTGGCATATTTTTATCTATGTACTTTTGTGGGGTTGTGACCGCTAAAACTTGTGTTGGCATAGTACGGAACCAAGAGTGATTTTTCCTTGTTATAGCCCGCGGTTCTAGGCAAGTGTTGTAAGATGATCATCGATAGACCATAATCTGCTTTAGGAGCGGATCAGTGCCTAAGTTACACAAATGGCTAAGGCGTCTTCTTCGAACCTTGATAGCTGGAAATTCCTCAAATATCATGTTCTGCATATGCACTAGTACTGAGGATTTTATCTCATGATGTGAATATCGGCGTCATTTACAGCATTGTTTCTGATCTATTGGTCGGAGGTTCATTACAATTCTCTCGATTTGGAAGGAGGTGACTTTCTATTCCTTGCCCATTTCACCACCATGTGCGCTATTGGGTTGATTCTACTTGACATTATCGATCCATATATGTAATAGTTAATATGTGCGATGTATTAATATCTTGTTATTTCTTTCTTCTCCACTATCAGCAGAACCAAGGCATTATTTGACATCGGTAAGGAAAAAAAAGCACTGGCTCCTGAAGTCAATTTTTTGAGGCCACTGAGCGTGGAATAGGGAGGATTTGTATAGATGAGTTCTGGGTTACACTAATATTCTTGTTAGCAACTGATTCTTTGATGAATAAAGCTTTTCTCTTCTTGCCGGAGAAATTACATGCGTTTGAAGTGTTTCAACTGTTGATCTGGAAGGAGAGTGAGAATTATTCAGCCTTCGAGGATCGAGTTGAATCTAGTCCAAAGAAATCTCAAATGAACTGTAATGCTTTCTATCTCTGCGAAGGCGATGTAATAATTCGCAATCCAGGCCTTGTAAATAATGGGTTGAGTTTCTTAAGGCTCAGCCAGTGGTTACCACAAAATGTTGAAACAGGCCGTACGGTATAGTATAATATGGCATGGGTGGTGTTATGGAAACGAAGAATTAAGGAATTGTAAAGCTCATCCATTTGGTTGGATATGAGCTTAATAATTTTTAAGATCCTTATCGAAGGCTCTTGTAAGCAAAGAAGCTCCAACTTCTTTTTCTACATCGAATCGTCCAAAATAATTGTATGAGCACTCAAAATTTAGAGGCTTCACCATCTAATCCACCTCCTGTTGTATGTACAAACTTGTGTATATTTTTGCATGTGATCTTCAATTGCATTTCTATAACTGTGCAAGTAACCTTGAAACTCTGCGACTCTGATACAGATGTACCCTTCGCACCACTTAAAGACCGGTGAGTTCAACTACCTGAACTGTCTGGTATTCTTCATCCATCTTTCCCAGGTTGATGCCAGTGAGAATGTCTGAGTGGGTAGTATTGAAAATGGAGACGAGTGGTATCTGCAGTTTCTTGTCTACATGTTGCACAGTTTGTAGTCAATACATCTGCTAGACATTGTCCCTTCTCATACCTGATTACTTCGATTAATCCTACAAGCGCTTGCCTTCTGGATATATATTGCTACGCCATGATATCAATTGTTCAAAACACTTACACGCCCAGTTTAGGAACAGAAACATTGATAGAGGTTTGTAATTTTTTCCTTCTGTTTAGAAATAGAGAAACGTGATGTTAGTGAGTCTTCACTGGATTTCACTTTCTACTATATTATTCATCTTCTGTTTTTCGTTGATCCGTGCTAGTGCCCCGACTGTGAGCTATGGCCTTTATTTTACATACTTTTTAAAATTTGTGAGTTCACTGCTCTAATGGAATTGCACATGAACAGGTCTTATGTAGAGTAAAGCCACAGTCAAAGTAAGGTAAGACGGACTTCAAGTCTATAATAGATTAGAAATCACTTGAATAAAGACGACTTTACAGTCGATGTACAGACATTATGTAGGCGATTGGGGTTGTGGGTAGTACACAAGGTTGTCAATGTGTGGCTTGATTTTAATCTTATGTCAATATTGTACATACATGTAAGTGCTCACAAATCGCACTAAAACAATCAATCTGGATAATTTGTGTGCATCGTACTCAGATAGGCGCTCATGGATGTAGAACAAGTTGTCTGACACGCAAATGAATTTTTGTCGGGCAAAGTTAACTTTTTCTTACAAGATCGTTTTTGAAGAAATTTTCCGCCTTGCGAGTTTAAGTGGCAGCTGTTATGTAGCCAAGGCCAAATATCATCTGAGTGAATTTGTCTATCATAGAGATCTCTTCTCTATTCTCAAGCAATGATCAAGTCCGTTCAATTTGACGACTAGTTAACTTGCAGTTTTGCACTTTCGTAATGGAGTTTTGCATAGACAAATTCTGCAGCATATTTAGTTGAGATTTACAGATGTAAAAGCTGAGATATCCATGAAGAAAGTAAAGACATGTAGACACGGATAGAAATCGTTCTGAGACAGATATGGATATGATCAGATACGTTGACTACTGTCAATGATTATATGACAACATTATGCAGAGGACTTTTATCCGAAATGTTTCTCCTTTCTCCTCAGGATAAGATTTTGCTTTACTTGTTGACCATGTCTATGAGATCATATCTTTCGAGCAAGGTACGGCTTGAAGATCCGCAAACTCTTGGGACATTACACTATTACACTAAAATATGTGTGATGTAAGCAACATAATTTCAGGTGAAAGTGAATATACCTCATCTATGATTGCTTGTAACATTTGGAACCTATATTACTGCTATAATTTAGACATGTTACAGATTGTATGAAATTGAAAAGTAGGAGGTCGACAGATCTCTGAACGTACGGAATTACGTCGCAGGATCAGCCGCCCAAAGTACAAAACCAAACAAGACAAAACCAAACAAGCGAAACAAGTGAAGAAAACGCCAAAGAAGAGAGGAGAAAAGAGAACGAAACAAGTGAGGAAATCAAAAAAGCCCTCGGAACCGTCAGACAGTCCTTCTCTAGTTCTTCTCTCTCCTAGAAAGCCAGTTTCAACCAGAAAGAGGAAGAAACCTGCAGTTTCAACCAGAAAGAAACCTGCAGTTTCAACCAGAAAGAGGAAGAAACCTGCAGTTGCAACCAGAAAGAACAACTCGACTGAGTCGGAATACTCAGACAGATCTTCTGGAGGTTCGTCGTCTGAGTCGGAATACTCAGACAGTTATTCTGGAGGTTCGTCGGCTGAGTCGGAATACTCAGACAGTTATTATGGAGGTTCGTCGGCTGAGTCGGAAGACTCAAACAGTTCTTCTGGAGGTTCGTCGAGAAGAACAGAGACAGAAAGCGATGAGGAGGATGATGTACGCACCCAGAAACGGAAGAAACCTGCAGTTTCAACCAGAAAGAGGAAGAAACCTGCAGTTGCAACCAGAAACAAGAAGAAACCTGCAAAAAGGAGAAAAACATAGACGATTAAGAGAGGTATCACGATCTTGAAGAAATCAAAAAAGCCCTACCAAAGAAAGAAGAAGAAAGAAAAGAAAACGTCATACAAGAGAGGGAAAAAGAATTCCAAACAAGTGAGGAGAAAGAAAAGGAGAAAAAGATGAACGATGAAGAGAAGTATCACGAGATTGAAGAAATCAAAAAAGCCCTAAAAAAGAAAGAAGAAGAAAGAAAAGAAGACGTCATACAAAAGAGAAAAAAATAAAATAAAGTTGGAAGGTTGACTCCAAGACAAGAGTGTTGCAGGTGAAGGAAAACCTTCATAAGTCCAAGATGTCAAAAATTTCCATCAAAGGTGAAAGCACATACATAGAACCGAGAGACCAGAGTGGGAGAGAGAAACATATTTTTGCAAGTTACTGTAATTCACTGCCTTGATATCTTACATTAGAAAAAACAGCTAGTAAGAATTTCAATTCAAGGATATACATTTGAACAACATCTACAAGATTATGTAGAGGTAAAAGTACCACAAACCATCAGAATCTTCCTGATGGTGGATTACGTAGCAATAAATTCATGCTCTTTGATTCACCCATAATATTTTTTTCTCTTTGGAAATGACATCGAAATATGATGAAAAGATATATCAAAGTAAAAAAACAATCAAACATCTTGTCAAAAAAACAATCTTTGTTTTTTTGGGAAGGCTGTTCATTTTGAATTGTAGTATATGTTGACTATAATATAAGTATCACAACTTTGAAAGACTTTATTTGCCATATTATTCCACTATTTTTTTACTCAATATGCTTACACTAAAAATTATTCCATCATTTGTAGTTTCATGTATGTTGTATTTTGATATTAAAAGATTTAATATACATGAGAACTACTTTCCGTGTTAGCATTTGATTCTAACAAACATTAAGATCTGTTCTCTTCATTTTCTTACTTGAATTAAGTTTTTTCATATTTTCTTACGTTTCTTTTTATGTATGATCATTAACATTTGTATAAAAAATGTAATTGTTTTGACTAACATATTTGCAAAGTTAAATTTATATGACATAGATAAAAATATAAGGCTAAAAAGTTGGAAGGAGTGAAAAAAATAGATTATAAATTAACTTTTTTCTTGAAAATTGCAGAAAAATTCAATCTTTACGAAAAAAATTAGTTTGATTGCAGCTTTTTGTATTAACACATAATATATAAATATTTATGAATTAAATCTTGTCAAATTGAAAAATATTATGTATAATATAAGAATTTCAAATATTTGACATGTGAGATGTTGATACATTTAGTATAAAATTTTTCTAGTAAGAAAAATAGAATATAATGAATGATGAAATTATTCAATATCACAATAAAAAACCATTGCACATTCTTATGTGCTTTTTTATTTTTACAAAAATTTAGAAGATTGAATCATACAACAATAAATTTTGTTAATTTAATGTTAAATTAATGATTATAAAATATATGTTATGTGAAATTACCAAAATCATTGAAAACACACAAGCACATATGTCAATAAGAAAAACATGATACATTCATACGAATACATCATAGGGAACAAAAAAAAATTACTAAGAGTAAATTTTGACAATTTTTTTTGTGGGAATTTAATCAGCTTCATTAACTAGAGATGAATTAAACTTAGTTATCAAAATAGCATAATTAATTTCTAACTATAGTTACATCGTCTCATATCATGAAATCTATAACTTTTATATTCTATAAAATCATTATGCTAAAAGTTCTAGAAAAAAATCTAACATAAGATTTTCTTTAAACTAGAGTTAACAAAACCAAGCCTTAGCCAGAACATGATAGAATAAATTTAAAGACATAAAGTAATTGCTAGTGAAATTTAATTAGTGCTCTGCATGCAAAATCTCAAAGCCATATTAACATATTGTACTATGCACACCATCAAATACATGAGGCTGCTCATGGCTTTGTCATCAAAAATTGATAAAAAAAATTTTATTCAAGAGTCATAAATTGGAATTTGAGCTGCGTAAAGTTTAAACGCGCTTCCAAAACACTCAAGATTTTTTACTATTTGCCATGTTAAACTTGTAAAGCACATGTAGTATATACTTGTCTTCACTTAATCATAGATTTTTCTTCTTCAAATCTTTATGAGCATCTATCCATAACAAACTCTTCAATTTAGTCAAATTTTTCATCTTGAATGCAGATTTAAGTTGATTCTTGTATTTGTTGATGTGTGATTGAATTTCTCTAAACTAAGCTCTAACCCAAGATTCCGGTGCATAAAATTTTGTAAAGACGCTTGAATCGCAAAAGTTTAGTTAGACTTTTGCAACATTAAGGTCCACAAGAAATGGCAAATTAGTTTGGTGTGTTGGATTGGTCACATTATTCTTAATTAGGTTAACATTTCACATCCATTTTACGTTCTATTTGTTATATGAAAGAGAGTTTAGTATCTAATATGATTACTTAATCAACATAAATGTTTGACAAGATAAGCATGTCATCAGCATAAGATACAAGAATAATAAATTTTATCTTATTATTTATATTTTTCATGTATGTATATGAAAATGCACACTTCGTAAAAAATTTGTGTTTTAATGAACTCATCAAACTTTGCATTTTACTTTCTAAGAGTTTGCTCCAATCCATATAATGATTACAACAATCTACAAATCAAAATATTTTAATTTTTTTTCTGAATATCAAGTAGTCGTTTCATGTAATTACAACAATCTAAAAAATTGTTGTAATTATATTCATATTATTTGAAACCAGATTAGATATTTTGCAAAATGCACATACTAGTTAAATTAGAGCATATTTTGCTTCAAATAAACAAAAAATTGTAACCACCAACCGGGTTTTGAAATATATTTTTTTGAAAATGATATACTCAATTGGATTGTCTTTCAGCTTGTATATCTACTAGCTATCAACAAAGCGTTGATTTTTAGTTAAGCTTTATTAGCTTAACTAAAAACCACTAACTTCAGGTCTTGTTATGCATCTCATGCTGTAAAGCAATTTCACTCAAACATAGTGATAGAAAATTGATGCTCTATATAAAAGTTAAGGTTCTTTTTCAAGATCATGTTTTTACATCATTATCATCAATGTCAATATCATAAGATAAAAAATTGAATCAATCACATCATATTTTATACCTGGTAGAAGCTTCATTCATCCAATCCAATGATCTTCATTGTATATTTGAAATTCACCAACAATAACTTGCTATTTAATTTTTTTTCTTCAAAAATTTGCTTTGATTGTATTAGAAATTTCCATTTTTTCACATGATTAAATTTATAGTGATCAAATCACATCTAATCATTATTTGTATTAGTGAAGGAGTGCACTAAATCTTTTTTTTCTAGTGAAGTATGCTCATCACAATGAAATACCTACTACCAATAATATTACAAGCTATTGTATTATATAGCATATAATTCTTCACCACAATCATATTTATAAAAATAATATTTTTTAATGTTTTATGATTTGGTAAAAAAACTTTTATGTATGAAAGGATAAATGATATAACATTTTTTTTGAAAAATTATAATCAATCATCCATTTACGTCTCATTTTAAATGATGTAAAGGATTTTAAGTCACAACAAGGATTAAAAAAGTACCAAGCGTATTATGCTATTGACAAACTTTATCCAAAATATATATGATACATTGAATTGGCATAACATACTTTGTATCTTTTTCAACACAGATCAATTGAGTTTTTCAGTATAAATATTCCTTTGCAAAGCATAAAATTGATGAGATGACAAATGTACTTTTCTTTGAATTAACTTGTAAATTGCCAAAAAACATAATACTTATTATTCTTTAGTAAGTAGATTTTTCACCTTATGTCTAATTTGATTTTAACTTGGAATTTCCAACTTTTGAGAATTGTAAAAACTTTAGAATTTTGTGTCAAAACATAAATCCGCACAATAATATTCATAAATAAATGATACTATGTTTAATTTTCCAGATAGTGATATTTTTAGAACAGACCTTCAAACATCACTATGTACATATTTTCATAACTTTCTTACACTATGAATTCAAACACTAAAGATTTTTCTATGATGTTTGTTCACATCATAATATTCTTACTATTTCATCAAGTTTATCTATGACTGGTAACACATTTCTATTGCCAAGGAGTATCAAGTAGATATTACTCAATTGTCATATACTAAAATGACATACATGAGTCGTTGCAATTCATTATTTAGTAAAATACATTTAAGCAAAGATGATAATGCTTCTCTACCATACATGAAACATTGCACCTAAATATTTAATCTAATATTTTTCATCAAAGATGATAATGCTTTTTTACCATACATGAGTTAGTGCAAATTAATATTTAGTAAAATATATTTTTTCAAAGATGGTATTGCCTTTTAACATAAATAGATTGTCATGCTTATGTATTTTACCATAATCTTATCAACTATTTACATCTCGATTTCAAAATTAATAAAATTGACTAGACCAAAGATAATAATATCTTTTAACATACATATATTGTTATACTTGTGTATTCTTAACATATTTCTATTGTTGTTATAAAAGAATGTTTTAGATTTTATTGTCTTGTCCAAACAAGTAGCATTTAGCTTGTCTTTGACTTGTTTTCTTCGAGTAGATAATTACAAGGTTTATTTTATTTGATTATATCATATCTTTCTATTTCTGAATTTATGACCGTCATTTTTTTCCGTTGCACACATGAAATTGTCCATTGTGACGTTTCTATGAATTAATTAAACTAAATTTTAGTATAACTAAATTTTATCTAAAGTTGAATTAGTGACAAATAAAAATTCTAGAATGTCGAGTAATCCAAGAAAATTAACTAAAGAAAAAAAATGTCAAGATTTCAAATGACATGTCATCATCTCAAGCTAGGGATAAGAAAACTTCAAGAAAGTTAAAGATATCAATGACATATTAACACCTAATGAAAATTAGTCAAACCTATCAACAATTTTCTTAGTAAAATTAAGTTAGATAATAATTATCATATATTATTATCGTAATTTTTCAAGTTGTTTAAATAAAGAGATAGAAAGTATACTTCCAAGCAAAATTGGAGTATTCATTGTGTGAAATTTTTTTCCATCAATAACATATTAAATTACATATCTTGGAGTGTCATTGAATGATTGGATTTGAGTGATGAGTGGAAAGATTGTGTGAGAGTTTGTTTGTGAAACTATCATATAAATAAATCTTTTTTTTCTAAAATCATGATGAGCTACAAAAATCCATACGAGGTAAATCTGAATGAAATTAAATCCTGAGATCACAATGCTCCTTGCTGAGGTTGTGAAGGCAACTCTTAAAACGATGACGATATTTAACGTGCTCTTAATCATCTTTTGCACCTTGAACTCCATGTTATTAGATGACGTTATTAGATGATGATACTCAGACAACAATAATGAAATCTCAAATGTTGAAGAAAATAGTGAGATTTTAACCGTGAGGATTATAAACAATTAATCGCAATACCGTTTCATTGTTAGATCAAGAGTTCAGACAACAAGAGTCGATGTCCAGATGCATGTCTCCGAACATCAGAGGCTGGGAGACAGAGCCTCACAAGATCCGCAGGTGGAGTCCTCCCTTTATCACTCCTACATAAAGAAGCGTCCGAAGTCGAGTCAGAAGGCAGCGTCTCCCACAAAACATGGACCCAAATTTTAAGAGAAAAGAATCAGAGCTCTGGGAAGACGACTACAGGTAGCGCGCATAATCGTTAATCATCTTGTTGTACCTCACCTTCCGTGAAAGCTCCACTCCCGGGCCTTAATCATTAATGCCCGGGAGTGGTGAGGTATGACAAGAGAGCGTGAGGGACGCCCAGATGTAGTAATAGGTCTCCAGCCTCTCAAACCCCCTTCGGTGTATCTTTGTGCTGCTTAGTCGGCGGTGAATGGAACTCGAAGGGCCAAATCTCCTCTATTCTGTAATCGCCTTCCCAGCTCTCGGGAATCCAAACGCTCGGCATCTGTGGACAGGTTTTACATACTGAGGTCTTGTCCCAGTTTCATACAAAGCCGGCGTACAACCCTTGAGGAGAATGTGAAGATACGACGCTGATCCAGCTTTTCTAATGAGGTAGAAAGGAATCCTCGGCGCTTCGAGGCTTACAAGGACAATCTGCTTGGCTGCCTCTGGCAAAACGAGGATGGCGCCGTACTCAAGAAATGTATGAGAGGACCGCATCTCTCGACGATTTTCCTAAGAACGGGATATGGACACATTGACGTTCACTCCAGCGCTACTCGCACGAGCAGAGCTGCTGAAGCGAATCGTCGGGGGAAACTGCAAGGCTGTAGCATCGAGGGCAAAGTATGCTGCTGCGTACAGGAAACAACATCCCCGACGACTGCTCGTCTCTGTTCAAGAGTCCGTGAAGACCAGTCCACATGCGCCATTCCTGGAACTGATTGGCCTTTTCGAGGGGGTGCGCTTCGAGCTTTACTCCTCCATCGGGACAAATGGCGGTCGGTCCAGTGCAAGCGCCGACTTGAAAGACGTCGGCGGGGGCGACGACCCTCTTGGAAATGAGCAGCAGAGTTACTCGAAGGCAGCGATTTCTGACGAGAAGCAGAAGGTAAGCAGCTGCACCGACGATGTCGAACCGAGAGCAAGAGGCAGACGGGGCCATCGAGAGCAAGAGTCTGAAGAGGAATCATCAACAAGCAGCGGGGGCGAATTCCCGAGAGCTAGGACTGTGGTTAGAGGTGCGGGTCGCTCAAGGGACGAAGAGAAGCAGACGACGCAGTGTCAGTGGAACGACGTGGAGGACGAGAAATTCATGCTGGAGGCGCTGCTGGAGGCCAAGAAGGCCGCCAGTCTCGGGGAGGTGCCCGTGGGCGCCGTCGTCGTGCAGAACGGGAGAATCATCGCGCGAGCGTTCAACCGAGTGGAAGCGGAGGGAGATCCCACCGCACACGCGGAAATGCTGTGCATCCGCAGCGCGTCGAAGACGAACGGCGACTGGCGCCTCACCGATGCGAGCATCTACGTGACGATGGAGCCGTGCGCCATGTGCGCGGGCGCTCTGCTGCAAGCCAGGGTGAAGAGAGTGGTGTGGGGCGCGCGCAACAAGCTCCTCGGTGCCGACGGGAGCTGGGTCAGTCTGTTCCCCAACTGCGAATCACATGTCGATGGAGAAGCAGAACAATCTTCCTTGCAGCAGCAGCAGCATCCCTTCCATAAATCTGTGGAAGTGCGTCGAGAAGTTCTTTCCGATGATTGTTCCATGATCATGCGTACATTCTTCCGGTCGAGAAGAAAGGACGAAGCTCCTAATGCCAAGAAGAAGCCATGGTGGCTGTCGTTTGAAGTTTGGGTTCTCTTCAGAAGACTTCTAGGCTAGCTAAACCTTCGCGGCAGAATTGGAATTGGAAATTGAATCCTTGAATCTGTCTCCCTGATATGAAAAAAAAAATCTTTAACAATCATCTCATGAATTTACCTCGTGGATGGCGGAAGTACACTGCTTGCAAAATCCAGCTCTGCAACTTCGGTGGGAGCTATTCCATCGAGTTCGACCTCGAGTTTCCGTGTCCGATGGGAATCGGAGTTCAGAAAGTGTTGGATGGATGATCGATTTGTGGATCGTCGACACCTACAGAAGCTGCTCTGCTCTTTATCTGGGTCTACGCACTTCCTGTACGTGGTCAGCTTCTGCATCTCGCACAATTTGCCAGGTTCCTCTCGATTCCGTCCCTTCATTTCGATTGAGCGTTTCAGTAAATCATGCAAAGCCATGAAGCAGCTTCTCCACTTGCAGCCACGATTGGCTCACAGAGCCAGTGATAGCACTTAATCAGAGGAATGATACTAAGTCCAATCTTCAACACCTGATTATCTTCGTATCGAGGGAACGCCAATGTCTGCAACAGCTGGGCAACAGTAGTAAGTTTAATAATTTATTTAGAGATTTATTTATCAGATCATCCGTAATAGTCTAGATGGTTAGGATACCTGGCTTTCACCCAGACGACCCGGGTTCGAGTCCCGGTTACGGAATTTTTGATGCTTTACGAAATTCTGAAAGAATTCAGACACGGAACATTGGCTGTGGATTGTGGCAACTCGCTTAGAAGTGGGCGGGGCAAAATGCGCAGCCGGGGAATCGAACCCCGGTCAGTACCGTGGGAGGGTACTATGATACCACTACACCAGCTGCGCTTGGTACCTAAGCAGCTATAGACAAAATAAATCAATATTAAAAAAGACCTATTTTTACCTTTCTTTGGAATAGATTAGACTGGAGTTGTGTGCCTTTGACAAAGTAGGTTGCGGGCGCAGTGGGTGTCACAGTGCAGTAGACTGCCAGATTGATTAGTGCTAGTAAGAGAAGATTTGTGGTTATAGTTCTTGTTTTTTATCTCTAAAGAGGACCTTAAAGGGACTTTCGACTATCTTAGATGGGATTATAGATTACTCGCTTCACGTATTGCTTGGATTTTGGAGCGAACAGTTCGACGGGCCTAGCTGGAGGCGCGCGGTAGGCGAGACTCTCTCAGGCCCATAGACCAAAGGGCCTTCGGCTTCTTAGGATTCACGTCTGGCTGTATAGTTAATCAGTATCGCAAACTCTCCTACTAGTCATTACGACTTCAGCGGTATTATTCTTTCAATAATTATTTTTAGATGATAAATATTTTAATTTACTAAATTTGGAAAAAATTCCTTTCAACATTTTGATTATTTCCAACTTTCTTTTCTTATTGATTGAATATGAGTGAATAATCCCCTTACTTAAAGTTATTAGATTTCATACTATTTATTTTATATATTTTTTTCTTTTTTACGTATGAAATATGATTCAAAACATAAAAAGGAAATTTACATTAATTGAATTTTTTCAAAAAAAAAATCTTTAAAAACATCTCTATGTTTTTTAAAGATTCAAATTTATATTTTTCAAAATTCAAAAATTTCTTATTTTGATATTTTCACGTTGATTATATATATGGAGATTTTAGAATTACCTTTTTCCCCTAAACAGATGATCAAATGATTTTAACTTTATAAATCGTTATATATAATTCTTATTTCTTTTATAAGTAATAAAAAAACATCTGAAACTTCCCTTTTGCACATGCGAAAGAATTGGACGATGAATTGAAGGCGTTTTCTATATTTAATCTTACATTACGTTTACATTTTTTTCAAATTCAAAAATAATGTATAATTATGCCATTTTGATACTCCTGTTCTTACGTTTAATGTCAATGATCCATCTTCATTGATATACTTTCCCAATTTTGAAAATTAAATTATTAAATTTATTTATTTAAACAACCTGTTTTGTGTAAATATCAGTATTTTAAACAAATATATTTATTTCCAATATTCTATGTGTTAATCATTTTTTTTCAATTTTTTTTTCAAATATCAGTTGTTTTAAATACTTCTATTGTTAAAGATGTTGATATAATTTAAATTTTAATACATGTTATTTAAATATTTTATATATGATATTCTATTCTAAGGATATTTCACGATTATAAAGAAAAATAAATTATAAAATATTGGAAATGTCAGCTTATGTTATTATGATTCAAATAAATTTCTTATTATAAATAGTAATTACTTAGAATCTTTATGTGATTTAAATTTTACACAATTTAACTTGGTGGAACTAACAGTTTTTTCTATTAATAATATTAGTCGTTGTCCGAATGTTATATCATTTCATGTAAATATTCTTTTGAGTCCCGTAATGGAATATTGAAATAGGATAAGGAGGTTATTGAAATTACTTAAAATGTAAAATATATTATATATTGTGACATAATTTATTGAATATTCTAAAGTATCTATGAATCAATATCAGGATTGGAAGTCTGTGAACAAATCGACGGCTTCTTGCAGCCTAGTAACGTCTCAGAGGCTTCCAAAGTTTTCGCCAAATGAGTCGGCTCCTGCGTCAGACTCTGCAGGGTACACATGGCCACTCTTTCCCAGTCGACGGGGTCCCAATCCCTCGTGGAGTCCACGTGTCCACTCTTCTATAAAAAGAGGAATGAAGAAATATGCAATCACGCAGAGAGAGAGCAGCAGGAACAAGCACAACCATCCAACTGGAAAAGACCGCGACCCCAACCCCGGCCCCGGCCCCGCTCGGTAATTATGCGTGAGGCTAATTCTCCCCTGCCCCTCTCGCGGAATACAGAAGAAAACTGCGACGCATGGTAATGAGACGAGGAGCTAAACTCGCCTCATCAAATTCTTAATTTAAGCAGGATTTGCTTAATTCTCAAAGTATGCAGGAGCTCACGCAGGTTGTCAGCTACATCGTCAGAGGGAGAATGGTTCACCTCCGCTCGGTGGTTCTGTAGAGCATTTCGCACAACGCACGTCGATTGCGGTGCTGCCGGTTGAGGAAGATGAAGATTTTTCACAGCATGCTTCTTCTCCTGCTCTTGGGTGTTTGGTTGCGTCCATCCAACTCGGATTTCGTTTCTGCCGATTCGTGTCCAGGTGTGAGAATTATGGTCGGAGAAGCTTTGGTGATCATTTCTGTTGGTGCAATTTCGTGGGGAACGATGTTCGGCTAAGCTTTCTATTTGCGTTGCTGCGGCCAGTGATCATTGATTGTTTCTCCCCTAAATGATGTTGCTGAAGTCGTGCTGTACTTAGTTTCTTTTTTGGTTGAGTTTCCAAGACGAACAAAATGTCGTAAGTGGATCCTGCCGGAAGAACTCTTCGGAAAATTTCTGCTTTCTGGAACTTTTCTGTTCTTAGATTCAAGCATATCCGGTCTGCATTCTTTGTTTGCTCTGTACTAGTCCAGCTGAATTGCTCTATCATATAGAAGCTCTGGCTAAACAACAACAATATCCTTTCTGAAGTCTGGCTTTCCCCTACTGGCCCTTTCTGTGAATAATGCAGTGGCTGACTTTCCAATTTGTTGAAATTCCTACTGATTATTTGGGCTGCATTGTCTTGTTTGACCAAATTACAGATCGTGACGATGTGGAATTAAATCAGGCGTTCGGCGGAATAAACCACCTTAAGCCTAAAGATGCTCAAAACAAATACATCAAAGTGGTGGAGCCTACACTTGCTCCAATTCACCTATATGGTCAGTAATTCCCTTTTTCTCACAGCTGTATTACTAGTCATTTCATTCCAGTTTACAGTTTAGCGCCAGGAGCCTTACTGAGCCCTTACTGACCTCGTCTGGTTCTGGCATTGTCGGTTCGAGCCTCATGTCTCCTGTGTCAGTTGTATTTATATTTCTTGTGTTCTTTTGCCTGTTTTGGCCTTGGCACGCCGTCCAAATGGTATGAAATAAATTCCTCAATTGTGATGGACGAAAGGTTTATCCTGCTGTGTGAGAGTTTACATTGGCCTTCATTTGTTTTCTCGCAGTACTCAAATTTCCCTTCAATTTTCTCTTTGGCTAACCTTTTGAGTTGATATGGTTGCAGATTTACCAGGTTATACCAGAAGCGTTTATGAACGGGACTATGCTCTCATTACTCCTGAGAGTCAAGTTTTCTCGCCTATCAGTGGCTGGTAATCTTCTGAACTTGGCAGTGGACCAGGTTATGACATGTGGTTTGGCTGGGAACCAAGTCACTTACCTTTGACTTGGCACAGTTGATGTCCTGTTGTCCAAGTACGCACTTCATTGTGTGTTACATCTATGCCATGCAGGATCAACAGCCTTGCTGCGTTTCTCATAACTCCCGCCATGGGTTCACATTTCTCCATGTACTTTGTCAAGTTTCAGGGTGAGTGATAATTATTCCCGATCAACCTGAGAATAGTTTAGATTTTATCATTGATCTTCTGTAATTGGACCTGTTGCGATTGAAAACTAGAATTTTCATGTTCTCAAAGTTTTTGAATGTCATGAAAAAGCTTTCATTCGCCCTGGACTGTGTTCACTTGTAGGGAACTCTTCTGCTGCTCAACCTTCCAAGGGAGTGGAGAGGTGAAAATATTTTTCATCTGAAGTCATGTTTTTCAGCACAGATATGCAAATGATTCTCTTACCTTCGCTTGAGTAGAGAGTTAGAGGCTTCCAAGTGGCACTGTAAAAAATTATACTGCCTGCGTCGAATCAGCTTCTTGAAGAGTTCATGGGGTATTGCGAATATTCTACATGACCATCAAAACTTTACCCTATCATTCTTTGCGGGCTGCTCACCTGACTTGCAAGTTGAAACCGTTTCTCTGTGTTCCAGGTTTGTGTTTGTAGTCGATGGTCAGATACAACTCTCTTGTGAAGGACAGAATCATCTTATTCAGGTACATACTATATTTTGTCTTTGCTACTCCTATCGACGCCTTACTGAACATATCTTATATGTTCACACCAACTGACTTAAAAGCCTGCTTTTTTTCAAGGCGGATGGATATGCTTATGTGCCTCCTGGTACAATCCATGAGATTCGATCAGATGGATCCTCCATGCTGCTCATTTACGAGCGCAGGTACAATCTTACTATTTTCGAATAATGGAGTGTATGTGCGCATGGAAGAGGAAGATCTTGCTTAGTCTAGAACGACACCCATGATGTTTGAGCTGTCTGACATGAGGGAGGTGAAATATTGCATTTACTCTTTGAAGCGCATTGATGATTTTTATCTTTCCATGTTATGACTTCATTTCAATCGGCTCACTGACGTCCACGTGTTTTCCAATGAAGGTACTCCAACGAAGTAGGTTTAAAACCAGAACTGATAGTGGGCGTGACGGATGTGCAGCCCCTTCTGGATACTCCCGGGGAGGTAAGTAATTGAAATAACAATGGAAATAGTAATCCTGGAGATACCCTGAATATTGCGCGACTCAGTGTTGTTGCATTATCTACACACCACATGATTGCTGTTATGCACTCATGTGGTGTATACAGTGTAATCAACCAAGGCTAGACGTGTGGTATGCCTACTCATTTGATGGTGGTTCTGCTTGTTGCGAACCCTTTCGCACATTTTGCAGGTTTTTGAGCTTCGGAAGCTGCTTCCTACAAATGGCGTATATGATTTCAATATCCACGTAAGATACTCTATATGGAGATTATGCATATACTTCTGAAAGTTTTACGAATCTTTATTTTCCATTTCTGCAGTCCAGGATGAGACCTGTCGATAAGCATACGAATCTAGGGAGAGCTGTCACAAAAAACTCGTAGCCCTATAAATGGGGCGTTTAATGAGAGGTTCAGGCCTTTAATTTACGCGCCATAAATGGAAAGTTGACTTCACTGCAATTTGTACTTCGTTTTGCCCAAGATCATGGACTTCCAACCGGGAGAATATCTGAATGTTAAGGTGAATTCTTCTCCTTGCAATAATTTCTTTTTCTCGCCTAGTCTTTGCATAAGACATATCCAACCTCCAGTTCTCTAGTGTCTATTTTTCCTGTACTCGGTATCGCGGATTCTGGGACTCATTATAGTTGGTGCATGCCTTTTCTTGAAAGAGACTCGCACATTTTCATGCAAGTTTGATTGATCCACAGTCTAACCACTTCGTAGGCATATATGCTGACCACACGAATTCATTCATTGCCTTTATTCATATCATCCTCATGCTTAACAGACTTGCGGCCTGCACTTTGGTTTCCCCTTTTCAGGAAGTACATTACAACCAGCATGGTCTTCTACTTCTCGAAGGACGGGGGATTTACCGACTTGGAAAAGATTGGTATTGTCTTGCCCATTGATTTCAACTCAATGTGACTCATCGTTACATATCTTATTTCACTCGATTTATCAAGTAGTTTACCTTTTCCACGCAATTAGCTGCTGTAGAATACATGGCATAGTCTTCAAAATCGTCTCCTTAGTATTGTAAAAAAATATGACTGTGCCTGTTCGGATGTATTTAAGAAAGTATATGGTCATATTTCGTTCTTGACGCAGGCATCCCGTTCAAGCGGGTGACGTGATTTGGATGGCACCTTATGTTCCGCAGTGGTGAGTGCTAATTTCGATAATGACTGTAGTTTCATAAGCAGTCACGTCTCAATTCATCTATTTGTAGCAAGTATTTTTATGACGAAGATTGCCCCAGTAAATTTTAACTGAATGGATTTCTGCAGTTTTTTGTCCTCTTAGACTAACTAAAGTCTCGTGTTCTGCAGGTATGCTGCTTTAGGTCGAACTAGATCACGATATATTATTTATAAAGATGTCAATAGAGATCCACTTCTGCATCCGCACTGACCTAGAACGCCGGAAATTCAGAGAACCTTTGTTCCACTTTTGTCAAAATTGCCAAATGCGGAAGGCTGCAATCTTACATGGAACACCATGCACTTGTGCTCATGATGCTCTTTTTTCTGTATAGTGACTGCTAGGTTGTACCTTAGAAACGTAGCTGCTTTTAAGCTTGAAAAGAAGCCGCGAGACAGTTTTTTCTCTGGCTGTCCTAATCCTCTACCTTGAACTTTGTAATGCAATTCTCAAGCTCTGTAGTATAGTTCCTCTTCAAGTTTCAAAACTCAGATATTCATTCTGAGCTTGTGTCGAAAGAAGGGAGAGCAAAGGAGTTTCCTTTTCATTTTGTTCTTCTTTCATCATGATAATTCTTACAAGTGAAGGCAGTCATTGGCTATTTCCGATGTACTGACGGCAGAAAGTGCTTTTAACGGAAAGGATCTCACAACCGAAAGGGCTAAAGGTGCGAAGATCATCTTGGACTACAAACTGTAAATGTATGGTCTCCGTCTGAATATGGATGGCTTTATCATGGAGCCCCGAAAAGCATATGTTGGTCCACGTTTCCGCCTGAAATTGATCTGCTGTACTCGAGAGCTCCTAACACCGAAGGCTAGGAGCTTTACCTTTACCTCATGAACGTGATCGGAGGGGTTTGCGAAAACTTGGGGAGCTTTTCAGCAAGTCAATGGTTCATCTGGTCCATCTGATCATACTTTGACAATGCAACCCTGTCCTAGCTCACCATGTCCACTTCCAGTAAAGAACATTCGTTTATTCGTCTTCACGTCACCGACGGCGAAGCCAACATCTGGACCGTCATACAGAGCCCATGTGATTCCACAACGTGTGCAGTCTACCTTTTCCAATGCCATATTGTCACAGGCCCTTGGGACAGGACGTAATTTTCACTGGAAATCTTCCTCTTTTACAACAATCAACTGTAGCCCAAAAGACATGTCAAAGTTTCTGATGCTGTCCTAAAATTGAACCCGACGTTGAAAATTACAACATGGGGTGAATCCCGAGAAGGGCGATTTTCCATATGTGGCGGACTGCATCTTTTTGCATCCAACGGGTGCCGGGATGGTACTTTGGCTGGACGGTCTTCAGGTGAAATCGGACTTATTGGTGTTACCACAACTTGCTGTCGCTCGAGGAATCCCGGCCTACCCTAGAGACCGAAGCATTTGATGCGAGCTAAATGCGTCCATGTTGACTTCTGAGAAAGGATGATATGGCCCAGAAGAGACAAATGTCTCAATCGAAATGCTCAATCCACAAAAGAGAAACAAAACAGCAAATGGAATCGTCCATCACAAGATTTCCGAATCCACCACGCCAGCCTGTCCGTACGATGTCTTATCAATACTGAAAACAGTGTTTTCCCAAACGAACCTCCACCGTCCTCTACCTCCCATTCGATTGTCCGTTCATGTCTTGCTCAGCTTGGACGTCGGTCAACTGTAGTATTACTACATCTCTCTCCGACCCCTATGAGGCTTTCTACTGCGACCGAATATGGAAGGGAGAGTCGGTCCCATGCGTGAATGACAAACCACACAGCATCGAATCATTTCTAGACGCCACTCGAGGTCCAGAGATGACGACAACGCCAATCCTGTACTGTACTGTACCTAGCTGCACCAGGTGAGGATGACTCGAAGACCTGGTCAGCCAGCGAGACAACGAAAGGAGAATGAGTCCTACAGACAAATGTGGACTGTTCAGCTCGTACAGAGCGACTACTGAGGTGCAGATCGTGGAAAGGGGCTGCTACTGATCGTGATATGCAGCTGCCGGAGTGAATTGGAGGGGACATAAGTCGGCCACGCTTTCTCTTCATTTCGCTTCACTTTATTTGACGCATATCTGATGATGTCTGAGTGTCTCAAGTTTTAAAAACCTTTCCTCCTCCGATCGAGATACGATATCCAGTTTTTTAACCGCCAGATGACATCATTCCCGCCAGGAGCTCTTTCGCTCTTTTCAGTTGAGCACATCTCGAGTTGCGGGGAGAGAGAGAGAGAGGGAGGGAGGAGATATGCGCATAAAACTCATGACACATGCTGTCAGTGGGTGCTGCTCTCTGTTGTGCAAAAGTTGCAACAACATCGATGAAAGTCTGTAGAGCTTTGGTCCGACACACCTCGACACGTTCTATTTACAAGTTTCCTATTTGCGTGTTTTTAAAGGATCACTCATCACGGACGAAAAATCTACCCACGGATCAATGCACATGCGACAAGTGGCTCCAACGACGGCTCAAAGTTCAAAGTTCCAGACCCCGGGCAGATGAAGATGCTGGAGGACTAGAGAATTGCAGCTCCGGCCATTTTTTAAGCTCCGAGGAATGTCACAGGGGTTACACAGTCAGCTTAGCACGTTCTGGACATGAGGTACAAGAAGATTTGATTCACAATGTCATATTCGTGTTCTGCTGAAAAGGTAAAGCGATATAGCCCAACGAGCTTCACTCATGGCGTTTGGTGAGTTTTGGCAGCTGACAAGGAGTTTTTAAACATAAAGGCTAATCACCATGTTTCCAAATAGCATACTTTCTCGTTGTACGAGTCCAGCGGTCCAGTGAACACTACTCTAAGCTCTAGAACCTACCCCAATCTCTTATCATGCACATCAGTGCTATTAATATCCGGAATTATTTAACTTCTCATTCGAGTTGAAACTTTTTGCCAAAATTCTTTCCTCCTTCCGAATTGGTGCCTGGATTGCTCCATTCATAGCATTCACCCAATTTTCTGATTCGCTATTGATGCGCTTCGGCCGATTCGTTTATCCGATGCAGGTTTTCCTCTTAAGTCTCAAATAGGAATGATTATGCAGTCTTCCATTGAGTTGTTCTAAACTGAATGGCCAGGCCAATGCTGTGAGTTCTTTATTCGCGAGGGGGTGGGGCATTTTTGAATTCACTGGCTGATATGAATTCGTGTAATCAATGGCTGTCGATTAAGAATGTTAACTGGGCCCACTGCACGGTACAGTATTAGCAGATGGTGGTCATGGGGGTAGAAGTCAGATGTATTCAAGAGTATTAACCACATTTTTTATGGTATTTAGTCTGCTCTTCACTGACAGTGCTACGAAGTCTTTTACTTCTCGTTCTTGTTCATCTTCGAAAACTTGCAGACTGTTATCTCCATTACCGCAAGTACAATCCTATACGCGTAGCAAGAAGGTCACGCTCTTCATTTGCAACATATACGAGATAGGTGAACATTTATTTTAGGCTAGTTACTGATTAGCAAGTCTGATTAATAAGAAGTATTATACATGTTTTTAAGACAAATACTCAGTCCCGCGTTAAGAAGTGTTGTATTTCAGCCGGTACGAAGTGGTAACATTACTTCCTACGCATTTGTCAGTTAGACGTGCTTCAACATAGATGCAAAGAACGTTCTTATATTATTACTCGGTGGGGTTGACACTTCGAAACCAAATTCGAACATGGGAGTCATTAAGACCAGCTCCTTCCCAAGTTCGCTCCCTATGTGTATTTTCAATAGTATGAACGTCACACCTTGCACCTATTATCATTTGTTAGCTCCATGTCCTTTCGCTTTTCTACCTGTTCGATAGTGAGGTTTCATGGCCTTGATGCTCGTTAATGGAATTTTATGTTCACTAAGCACGACTTCTTCTCCGTAGCAGATTCTTGAAGATTCTCAAGGCATTAAAAGGAATACTACCAAGGTCCTCTATCGAGTCATGTACTCAATTGTGACAGTTGACGATGATATTATCAAGAAATTATAAATATGCTACATGACCTAACGACTCAACGATCAGTGAATTTATGTAATGCAAAAAGCTAGGGTTTTTAATGTATCCGTTTTCCTTTCTATAGTAATACTAACAAGTTTTGGTGGATACGGATGCTAGATTCAGGCATATGTATTTTTATACTAATTGATTTATGCTAATTTTGTTGAAAGTCTAGGATTTGCAAATGTGTGTGTGTATATATATATAGTGTTCTTGGTTGAAATAACTTAAAATAGATATATAAAATAATAATGATATAAACGACTACAAAGGGAAAAACAGGAATCTCTTGATATCGAAGAGAGTGCGCAACCCAACGGAATGTTGGTGAAAAAGTTTCAAATACACTCTACTTCTGTAAGTTTAATCTACATTGAACATCCTTATTCTATAAAATGTATAAGCCATGTAACATTGAAAATTTATTAATAAAGAATGAGAGATTTCAACGTTATTGTTTATAAAAAAACTAACAAACACACATGCTAATTTAGCATGATAGTTGGAAAATGAGCAGTTTGAAAATTTTCTTCTTCAATGATGACACTTAGTAAAACGATGTACTGCATTTTGAAGTGATTTTTGCTTTGCAATTAAGTTCCTCTATTTTTTAAACTATTATATCAGTGAATTCTCTTCCATTATTCCAACGATTTTCCTCCATTTTCCTCACTTAGGGGTAACACACATAGCCTCGAGGAAACCGATAATTTGTTTCTGAAAGTGTGTCATCATTTGATCATTTAAAAAAAAAAAATCGGAAATCAGCTGCTCTTTTTATTATTTTGATTTACATGACATCAATGAACAATAAATAATACGAGCGATATTTTTTTCTACTGTACATTGTCTTTTGGTGTTACAATGCACAAGTCTTCGGATCAATAACTTTCATTAGGTGAATGACCGGTTCAGGGTGAGCAGAAACAAGGTGCTCTACAGCAGAGCGTAAGAAGAGGAAATAGAACATGCGAGTAGATCAATCGTTGAAGAGTCAGATCATGCCTTGCCACCGTCTATCTAGACTCTGAAATCCAGTTGCAACGTTCTTGAGTCAAAACTGAGAATTCAACTTGCAACCTTCAGATCTTCCCTGCAAGTCAACATTAAGTGTCACAACTTCATGTCAATCATGTTCTTGCAAACTAACATCAACAGCTGTAAAATAGCCAGCCGTTGATAGAGGTTGCAACTCAACTGTGTACTGCCTTTAAAATAATTCATGTACCAAGAACAATAATTGTGTCACTTGCTCTTGCTGCGAATGCTACTTAAAGGTCCACTCTCCGGTCTTCTCCCAATTAGAGGTCTTTTGAATAACGCTCCAATAGCAAGGAGAATACGAAGACTTCAACTCATGTACACAAGCAGGGTTATCAAGATGGGTCGACCCACTAACAACACCTTGAGATATATAGATTTTATATTATGACATGATAATCCTCAAGTGTTATCACTTAAGATAAGAATTCTCTTATAAATTACAACATCAAGTTTTCAACATCAGTATTATAAGATCCAGGTTGATCAATCTTACTAGGGAAACCAGTTTTGTAAAGATCTTTTAGGTTACTATGAAGTAAATATACTGCTTAAATATTTTAACAATCTAGATTAGATGTTCCAAAAATAGCATAGATTTATCTCGATAAAAGATTATGACTCTGTCATATTAATATTTATGATGAAACGGTAAAAGGAATTCCAGTTGAAAATAGATTATAAAAAATATTAATAAATTATAAATTTTAGATATTTGATTATTCATGCATTTTAAAATATCACTAGATATTAATTTCCAATAAAATCTGGATTCTAGATTTTTCTATTCGTCAAGTATATCACCTCAAAATTTATTTATTATTTGCAACAACATCAAATTATTATAGGAAAGTGTTTCAGATATTGTATTATCATCTAATCAATTGAAGAATTTAACTAGACCTCTTAAATATCAATACATTTATTTAAAAAGTGGACTTATCAGAATAAAAACAAGAATAAAGTAAAATAATGTAAATCTTGCAAAATAAACGGTTTTGTAATTGATTTAATATCATGCAACACAAGTATACATCTTAAGTGAAAATAATTACTCACATGATATTGCTATCATGAATTTGTATTGAATTTTATAAGGATAGACCTTGAAATGCAAAGAATTGACAAAATTTGAAACATCATGCTTATACATTAGAATATTCAATAATGTTCATTTGTACATAAATGGATTTCAAGTAGTTTAAAGAAAAATAAAATAAGTTATGACAATGCTATTCTTTTGAATCTACTTCATGATGTTAGATTTTTGTTATTCTAAAATAAAATTTATTATCTCATAAAACTTGATTTATAATACACGAAATAATTACATCATGCAATGTATTCCAATCTCTTGCTCAAAATCCAAATATAACATTCATTATTACAACCTTTTTATCCTCTTGTCTAATGTACAATTGATTTTTGAAATTGGAAAAAAATAATTAATGCTAATGATAGCATATTGTAAACAATCAAGTAATAATATTAAATTTCTGTTTAGCTTAATTGTGGAGGCTGTATGAGAAGAAACATTGATTCAATGTGAAAATAAAAATCTAATATCCGGCAATCTCAATCCATTACCTTGTTATTTTGCTGATCACTTTCACGTCCTAATACGATCTATCTTGAATGATGCAGAGAACAATTTTACAACATTTTTTATTTTTGAAGTGGAAAATGTATATGCAATCATAATCTATGCATGTGCCTTAATAATAATTTTTTCACGTGCATTAATACCTTGTGACAAATAGAGTAATCTAACGAATCTAAGATAATGTACAACACAAATATCTAGGTGTTTTTATGGAGAATAATGAGTTTATAGCTCACACCAACAAACATAACGTAAATATTTCCATGAACACAATCGTAAAAGCATACGTCTCTAATGAAATTTTTTTTATTATTAACATAAGAATTGTAAAAAATATGGAGATCAATGCATGAATCATAGTTTAGGATTACAATTATAAAAACTATCTATACTTTAATATCCAAAACTTTTCAGAAGAAATCAAATGAAGTCAATGTGTTTAAATACAGAGATTGGAGTAAAGCAGTATTAGTACATCACTATAATTTAATAGAAAATAACTAAAAACTTAGAGATAAAAAATAAAGAATAATAATGTTCCATATGATTGAAAATGCATGCGAAAATCTTAAATCTGACAAATTTATCGCATCATTTTCAACTTTTAAGCTTATTTATATGCTCTGAAATCTGAACACACCATCCTACTCTTCTCTCGCTCTCCTGCATCACTCCCGCCACCCAAAAAGCCATCGTTGGAGTTCTAAGAATCGATGGATCATCTGCCCAAGGAAGTGAATTCCATGACCGCAAATTAGTGCTGGAGAAGTCAAAGACGTGGAGGTTAAGGTTAAGTCCATCAGACTGCGGCCCTGGCCGCAGTCTGAGGTCAGAGGCCGACTTCATTGACCCAGTGAGGTATTCAGGTTCAAGTTCGAGGAAAGCGTGGGAGTCGACTCATCGGGTCATTACCGGAAGTGAATCATGGGTTGGTCTGACCGACCAACGGGACCCGACCCGTCATCTCGTCTGGCCGGAAATTTCAGGAGGAGGCTCTGAGCGCGGAAAATGAAGGGAGTGAAACCCAACTGGTCGATCTGCGCCCACGGAGATTCTCACCAGGGACTTCTTTAATGGTGAGGTACAGCAGGACGATGGCATCGGAATGATCGAACACCAGATGTTGTATGTACAGTCCTGTGCCCGATGTCTCACTGTTGTTGTACCTACGGTACATTCATGCCGCTCTCTCTCCTACGGTACGTGGCTTTCATACTTTAGACCGGAGATGCTCCAATCCAGTTGCAGCATTTTTTAAAGTTTCGGCCCTTTGCTTCGGTCATGAACGAGCATGTTAAGAGATGTGATTCTTCGGGTACTGCTGGTGTCATTGGTCGTTCTACGTGGATTATCAGCAAGTCTTGTGTACTATAGAATACATTTTACATTGCGGTTTTGTTGCAACCTACATCCATGTGACCGTTTGTTTTCATCCTATGGTATTTCAATCTTCCTTCTTATTTTAATGTGTACTTTAGTCACGAACCTGATTAGACAAGGCCAAGCCTCATGCAGGGAAGGAACGATGTCAGACTCTCCTGCATTCCAGCAGGGAATCTTTCCGCGCTTATTCCTTGACGAGCTGTGTTCGATGATCTGAGTATTCTTGACACCTCAGATTGTCTCTCTGGAGCAAGCGCAGGAATAAACCCGAGGGGAAGACTAGATCTCTTTGAGTAGAAAATCTGAAATTGTCGAGTGTTTTTTGGGTTAACGGAAAGAGTTCATGATGGAGAATTTGAAGGACGTTTTTGTGGGAAGAGATGCAATAATGTGATTTCTGCTTAAAACCAGGAATTTGAACCACTGAGTATCCGAGACTTACAAGATTGGAGATTCTTTCAAAATGTTCAAAGTCAAGAAACTTTGCACGTCATCATCGTCATCATGTGGTGTGGATGGAGCACAGTGGATTTTGGACATAATTCAAACGCTCTTGATGTTCCCCATGAGATCATCCATCTTCATGGGGCATGTGACCGAGAGCATTCAATCAGGCTTTTTCAGGTCACAAGTAGATCCTGAGTGTCATACTCGAGTTTGCCGCAATTTAGGGTATAATCCCTTTCAAAGGGATCTTCCTACCTAAAAGTTCCAGGGAGCATGCTGTCAGCTTCTGTTAGTAGCGGATAACCTATCTCTTCCCATACTCTGTGCATGTGTGAAAGAGTCTTCTGAACGCTTTTTGGAAACCCTCCACTCTAGGCCTATAAACTGTGATTCGTCACAGTTTCGCGCCATCGTCGCTCATGGAAACCATGCAGCTCGTTTTCTCACTTCCTCCTTGAAGTTCCAAACATTTTCGCAAGAAAAACGCGGACTTCATAACTGTTTATTCTAAATATTGTGCTTATAGAGCCTTTTCAACTCCTTTGGCTTCTTTCTTCCTCTTCCTAGAAATGACTTCTATGTACAAAACGAGTAGTTCGAATGCGTCAAGCATTATCTTAATTGAGAAAATGCTGCAGATTATTTGCTCAACGTTGACATGTAGTAGTACAGTCCTTTTGGCAACAGACTGCACAGCTAGAATCCGCTTATCTGCAAAGTCCGGATTCCATCACCTCCAGGTAAGTTGCTCCGCACAAGTCAATATATGATGACGACCTTCTTCAAAGAAAACCCCGACGTGCTGAGCAATGAGGAGAATGCTTACTTTAGTGAGGTATAAACAAAGCAGTATTCTGTCGGTTACGTCAAAATATCTTCATGGACCACTTCAGCGGCCGTGAGTTACGCTTACGGGTGCGAGAAAGGAGGCGTGAATGCTGTCTGTTTGCTTGCAACCCTATCCGTGTCCAGTCTTGGCCTTTGGCCAATAATATCACTAAGGATTGCAACATCCGCAGATTTTGGAAGTTCTTAATGCTGGACGTTCACAGACTCACTCGATTCCTTCTTCACTCTCCACTTTGCTCTGGAGTTCGGAAAAAAACTTCTCCACTATTCGGTCACGGAGAAGAGCACTCGAATGTCTTCTCACCATCAGCAGAAAGTCTGTTTCGAAGGTCCTGCTATGCCAAGGAAAATCAAATCACAAGGGCTGCCAAACTCCGTGAGTGAAAGCTATTGCAGTGACGCTTGAGCAGATGTGTCTGCCATTGCGTACAGCGATTGCTTTCATACACTCGCAAGACGCAAAAGTACGCCAGAAGGAAAAGGAACCCTAATCTATACAAGTGAGTGAATCAAGCTTGTGTGACATATCTAGACACAGTGGATTGCCGATTTCAAATCTACCGAACGCGCTCTGTGGATTAAAGAGTCGCAGCTACGAACTTTATTGGCTTAGCGCCGAGGGTTTAGTTGTGATAATTTCACTCACCAAACTGTCCTGGATTCTTCAAAGTTCACAGGCAACTTTGAAACTCCCCGTAAGCAAGTACGGCCTCAAATTTTTGCCCTCTGAAGTTTGAATTTATTTAGCTCACACTGTTGTTGCAAAACTTTTGCGATCGTCGATTCCTCGATGTTATATTACAGTGTTCATTAGAATGTGACTGCCAGAAGGGATGAAATCCGACTTTTCTGGTTTGGCTCCCCCGCAGATCCGAACCATAAGTCACTGAATGAGTCAAGCTGACTAAAATTCCACAAAGTACATGGTCAATGAACTGCCTTTAGGTTAATCTTATAAGTAATATATATATATATATATATATATATATATATGAGGTCTGTATCGAATGTTTACGAAAGCTTATAGTAGTTCCATAATAATAATCATATCCAGTGTTCACTATTCTTATTCAAAAGAAACATGTTCTCATTGGGCCTTAATGTTTTGAAATATGATTGAGAGAATTATGATCACACTTAATAAAGTTTGATAGGGCTGATCACAATCCATATCGTCATTTGAAGATATCCATTTCATATGATACTGGTGAAAATGATAAAACATAAGTTTTCTTTGCCGTACAATCAATACTTAATCTATGAAAGGGATAAATGAAAGATGTAGGTAAAAATAATTGATAGGGCAACGCCTCCAATACCATCACGATGGAAACCTTGTCATCATGTACCCAAGACAAAGAATCTATATACTTTCAATGGTTTGGATAAGAAAGAAGCATGCAAAGGGTCATGAACTTGTGATTGATATCAAATGTATTGTATAACCTAGTGCTCAATGTCAGCAATTAAAGCACATTGACTAAACTAAGTCTTACAACGTGTTCAATAAATTCTTAAAGATGAAGTCCATAACAAAGAATTGACGTCCTTGCAGATCTTCTAAAATTTGACTAGTGATATATGACTTATGACTTCAACATTTAGAACATCTCCAAGGAAGTCAATTTTTTGTGTGAAAAAAATTGATTTTCGTGACTCCAACTTTGATAAGCTTTTATTTGAAACATTGTATGAAACAGTGTAGTCAATATGGTTTGATTATAAATATAAATTTCGCACCAGTTTTACTATTCATTTCATACCAATCATTCAGGTTTAAGAATATTTTTTATAAAATCTAAATAATAAAATCAACTCCGACATGTAAAATGTGGAACATGGTAAAATGTGTGATAGGTTATCGTATTATGCGACTGTGATAACATTTATTTAAAAAATTGTATGAGATACATATAGAAATATAATCAGAAACTATTTAATGAAAAAAATATGTCTGCTACATGAACACGGTAATTTCTAATGAAATAAAATCTTTGTCTTAACGCGTTAGATTACAGAACATACGCATGCTCATTCCTATGCATTCTTGTTTCATAGCAGTCATGAAATTTCCTTTGGCATAATGAGAAAAATAAATTTTCATTCAAAACAAGCATCTATATACAGTATATGGACTTATTCCCCAAGTGAATTTAATAGTCTCATTTTAAGAGTCAATTGGATGAAAAACCAAGCAGGAACTGTATGGTCCTAGAAAATGAACGAGCAAGAATAAGAGTCCACCTTTTGCGTTCCACTCCACCGTAAGTACAGTATGCAAGGGGGGAGTACTGCACCGAACGAAGGGTAGGACCAGGAATCGCAGGGCCGGAGAAGGTGTAAGACAGCAGCGGATCGCTGGCAGAGAGGCAGTTAAACGCACTGCTGCACTGGGCACAGGGCCGGGCGGAGCAGCGGATCGCGGGTCCAGATGTCCTGACGCTGTCAGAATTAGGAGGCGGGCGGGCGCAGAAAATGACGGGCCGCTTTTCCATGTCTCGCTGGTCTGGGCCGGTCCTGGGCCGGCGACGAGGGCAGGACCCTCCAATGGCGCCCGCATTCGGTCCTTTCTGGTCCTCGATTCTGGAAAGCCAGGGGAGCGGAGGAGCAGCAGCGATGGAGGGAAGCAGCAGGTGCCAGGATCATGATGGCGAATCTGTCGTTGCGATGCGGTGTTGTCGCGCTGCTAGTAGTGGTAGTAGCAGCAGCAGCAGCAGCACTTGGTGTTGAGGCGCTCGAGCGGTCTTGAGGCTGGCTGGTTGGTTGGCTAGCTGGCGGAAGGGCGGGCGCGCGGGCGGGCGGGCATGCTTTCTGGGCGGGCGGTCAATTCTGGTCTGCAGGTCTTGTAATCACGAGCAGCAGCAAGAAGTAGAAGAAGGAGAAGAGAGGGAAAGCGCGAGGGAGCGAGCGAGAGAGAGAGAGAGGGTCGTTCGCGTCGTTCGTTCTGTTCGTTCGTTGAAGTGTTCTTCGTTCGTTCGATAGTTCGTTCGCTCGCTCATAAGCTCGAGCTACCAACCTATCGACTGCTAAAAACTTCAAGAAAAGAATTAATCGTTTGTCTTGTTGACAGACGGACTATATTATCGGCTGGACTAGAACATCCGGCGCCTCGCGAGACGAGAGGACGAGTCTCTCGTTCGCGTGGAGACAAACAAGAAAGAAGGAAAGGTGACGAGGGACTCGGACTCGGACTCGGACTCAGGGTCGAAAAAGTCAGCTCGACTGCGGGCCGCCCCATCGCCTTGTGGTTGCTTAGATTGATAGAGGTCTAAGATTGCAGATGGTCAACTGATGATAGATCGAGATCGAGTTCAAGTTTTGCGGATAGTCAACGAGTCATCGAGTGGGGCGTGTCAGTGAGGGAGGGAGGGCACGAACGAGGGGCGTGTGGTGCGAGAAGGGAGTCGGAATGTTGAGGCAATGGGTGCCGAGGGCGGACGGGATTGCGATGCGAGTGAACTTTGCGCAGGAGGAGGAGGGCGCTGGTGTGCGGAAGCTGAGGAGATGAGGTTCTTGGTGGTTTGTTCTGCGTGTGTCTTTGATAGGGGTGGAAAGTGGAATCCTGCGCAGGGGGGTTTAGCTTCGTAGAACATTGGGTTTTATGCAACACGACGACGTTCGCTCTGACAGTTGATTGAATCAGGTTTTTAGTGCAGCATCTGGGATGGCGGGCGCCTATAGGGCGTTGGCTTGGGTGCTGTTTTTGTTCACGATACTTTGGGACAGAGCAGAAGGGCAGCAGGATGGTAGAAGTGACGGGCTGGCGCTGGAGAAATTCATGGACAGTGTTCGTCCTGGGCATAGTGATAATTACAACGCGACGGTGAATCCTTGTGACTGGAATGCTGCGAGGGTGCAGTGCGTGAACAGCGGGCGTGTCTCCATGTTGAATTTGACTGGCTTTGGTCTATCAGGACAAATCCCGCCGGGCACACTTTCGAACTTGACATTCCTGACGGACTTGAATCTTTCCGACAATAATCTGACGGAGTCTCTTCCGATCGACTTGCCGCAGCTTGCGAATCTCGTAAATTTGAATCTCGCGAGGAATAATTTCAGCGGATCGGTTACGGATATTGTTCGGGCTCTTTCTGCACTCGTGCAAGTCGATCTATCCACAAACAAGTTCGAAGGTGATGTTCTGAATGCCTTTCAATCTCTCAGGGCGCTCACAAATCTGGACCTGTCGGGCAACAATTTTAACGGGACGATTCCTGACGGGTTTTGCGATGCACCACGTAACCTCCGAACCTTACATTTGGGCTCGAACAGGTTCACTGGGCTGATTCCCACGAGCTTTGAGCGCTGTGCTTCTCTGCTGAGCTTAAATCTTTCATCGAACAGTTTCGTGGGGCCCTTCCCAGACGCCTTAAGTAAGATATCTACGTTGGAGGAACTGCATCTTGCGAGAAATGACTTCAGCGGACCCATACCGGACACGTTATTCCAGTCGCTCAGGCTCAGACACTTGAATCTGGCGTACAACAGTCTGACTAACCCGGTGTCGATTTCGACTGGGACTGGGGGAAATCTTTCAGTGGTTGATCTGGAGTCCAACCTGCTAGATGGCGACACCGTGATTAGCAACTTATTGCAATTTCCCCAACTCAGAGTCTTGAAACTAGGGAGGAACAAGTTCTCAGGCCCCCTGAAAACTACTCGGCTGCCCGCTTTGTTGCTGAGTCCGCTGGAGGATGTGGATCTTCACGGCAATAACTTTTCCGGGAAGCTTCCAAGCCTTGCCGCTGGTCTTCTCAGGCTGGATTTCAGTTCCAATTCTTTCAGCGGACCTGTGCCAGGGTTGAACGATGTCCAATCGTTGGAGTACCTGGATCTTTCCTTCAACCAATTCGAAGGAGGCCTTCCGCCAGACATCAGCCTTCAGTCGAGCCTGAAACGACTCGGTCTAGCTGACAACCAGTTGAGTGGAAGCGTGCCATCCTTGTCCGCCATGGTCTCCCTGGAGTACTTGGATCTTTCCTCCAACTTATTTACGGGAGCATTTCCATCAAATGTCACCCTTCTGTCGAACCTCACACGACTCAACGTAGCCGACAACGGGTTTTCCAGTTACACATTGCAGCAGCTCGTGTCTCTGTCCAACTTAGCCAGACTGGAGGTCTTGAATCTCTCAAGAACCAATCTAGGCGGCAACATCTCGTCCGCGATTGGTGACCTTAAACTGCTGAAAGTTCTCGACCTGTCGTTCAATGATCTCGTGAACGATATCCCAGCGGAGATGGGCAAGTTGAAGGATCTGGAGAATTTGAACTTGGCTTCTAACCATTTGCAGGGAGCGATTCCGGACGATATGACCCTCTTGACGTCTCTGAGCAGCTTGGATCTCTCCAACAACAATTTGAGCGGCATCATTCCAACCAAAAATCAGTGGTTGACTTACACGAATTCTTCCTTTGCGGGAAATCCGTATCTGTGTGGTTTACAGCTCAATGTCCCTGATTCGGAGTGCTCGCAAGGGCCCAAAGGAACACTCAGTTCTGAGGGGGCCTCGGATTCCGACGATAGGAAGGGCCTCATCATCGGCCTGGTTACCGCTCTTGCATTCGTGGTGCTGGTCGCCGTTGGTATGTTCATCTGGTGTCGAGTGTCCATGGCCGTGAAACCATTAAGCAAGGATGAAACCAGGCACGTGTCGGGTCCCATCCTCTTCGACAAAGATGCAGAATTGTGGGCAAAGGGAATCAAGGATCCGCACAACATCCCGGTCGTCATGTTCGAAAAGCCTCTACTCAGCTTGACTTTCGCCGACCTCTTGCAGGCAACAGCCAACTTCAACAAAGAGCTGCAGATTGCTGACGGTGGCTACGGTCCTGTATACAAGGGAATGCTGGCAGATGGTACCCAGTTCGCAATCAAAGTTCTTGTGGAAGTCAAATTCGCCGATGGCAAGGATGCAGTTGCGAAAATTGAGGCACTAGCAAAAATCAAGCATCCAAACCTAGTCACACTCGCGGGTTACTGCCTCGTTGGAGAGGACAGCCTTCTCATTCACGAGTACATGGTGAACGGAGACTTGCAGAGATGGCTACACGAACTGCCAGAGGGAACTCGAAATCCGGAGGACTGGAGTAGGGACACTTGGGAGCACTTGGACGAGCCTAATGCGGATGACCTTTCCGGCGAATTTCTAAGCTGGCCAACACGTCACAAGATTGCGCTCGGGGTCGCTAGAGGTCTTGCCTTTCTGCACCACGGCAATTCCCCTCATGTTGTACATCGAGACGTCAAAGCGAGCAACATTCTGCTGGACGAGTCCTTCGAGGCACGCCTGGTGGATGCCGGGCTCGCTGGCGTTGGGAAGCCCAGCGGAACTCCTGTCAACGGAGGGACTATGGGTTATGTTCCTCCCGAATATGGCCAGACCTGGCAGGCTACCACGAGGGGGGATGTATACAGTTTTGGAGTCGTGCTGTTGGAGCTAGTGACCGGGAGAATGCCCACGGGTCATTACTTCCACGACAGCTATGGAGGAAATCTGGTGGGGTGGGTTCGAATGTTGATCAAAGATAAAAGAGAGCTGAAGGCCCTGGATCCGAAGCTTGTAAGTCGAGGAGACGTCGCCCAGATCCAAGAAGTGCTGAGAATAGGTTATCTGTGCACTGCGGAAGCTCCCTCAAAGCGACCTACTATGCAGCAAGTCGTCGGTTTGTTGAAGGACTGTCAACCCGAGCCCTGATTCTCTGTGTTGCCTCCTTGAGAGATCCCGAAGAATCTGAAGATTGAGCCCACACCTTGCTGTCAGGAGGGCCTTCAACCAGATGAAAGCTGCGAAGTGGTTGTTGCGGTTGGAGGTTTTCTTCTGTCTTTTCTTTTCTTTTTGAGGATCGGATTTAATCCTGGCTTCTAGAAGAGAATTCTGCCCTCGTCATTTTGCACCCGAATCCATCAGACACCATGGCCAATAGACAGTCCGTGCTCCCAGTGTAATAGTCTTTGATTCAGAGTCTGTATATGAAAGATCGTTGTTCTCGATTGTGAGAGCCACTGGGATCTCTAAACCAAGTTTGGATTGGTGCTCATGCTTTGGATGAGATGAAGCACTTATGCAGTTATGCTTCCATACGGAGAAAAATGTCCCTTGCATTGTGACATCATTCACTCATCCCCCGATGTGGTACTTTGTGAAGAGGTTGAAGTTGGGATTCCGGCCTCTGCTCTAGCATGAGGCATTTGTACTTTCCCTGCATCTCCCGCCCTTTGTCTGTGTCCACGAGCTTAGGTCTTTGTTATTATCAAGTCTGACTTTCTTTTCGTCTTCAACCAGTCGAGTACCCGATAGTTGCACATTTGTGTTTCCATAGGAACAGGATCAAACATCCGCTTGTACATAAAGTGTCTCCATAGCTCGAGTGTTCGTTAGATAGTATTTTGTTGATTCACTGACAGTGTTCCTCTTGGCCCTTCGGACGCGTTTGCCTCCCCCCTCCCTTGTACATGAGAAAGAGAAATTTTGTTCGCAGTCAAGCTCATCTAAAAACGGCGAACGTTGTCTATGGAGCTGTCACAGATGATTTTCTTCATCATCATGTAAAGTTAAACGTGGATGAGGATGTTGGATAGGAGTTTCTCTACTTGTTATCTATGTCATTTACCAATAAAAATATTTCAATGTGGAGCTTCTACATCTGACTCACTGCTGTAATCGCGAGAGAGAGAGAGGAAAAAGAGAACGAAATTTTGCACAAATCCAGTCCAGCGACAACCTTTGCATTAGGGTAAAAGCATTGCATTACAGCTTAAAAGCATGTAAACGAAGTCATATCTTCCATAGGTTTCGCTGTTCACCGACCTGCGCATGGGTTCAGTGATCTACAGCGGGGAGCCACACGGTTGCCTCTTAGGAGCGCTTTTACGGAATTACGCGCATTCAGTCGGTCTGCACGACTCTCTGTCAAGGAGCCGGAAAAGCATAGGCGAACATATACTGTAGCTAGTCCTGCTCTGGACTCTCGAGGAAGCAGAGGACCGTCCTGTCTTGCAGCAGGCCTAAAAGACCCAAAGTAACAAATCTGTGCAATGTCGTCAGCGTCACCACGTTTCGGGATCCTTTGTCCAAAGTTGATCTCGCAACGATGCGACGAAAGTGTGCTCAGCCTCCAGCGCAGATCTGAATGGGACCCGGAGGACAAGACAAGATGAGCTCGAGAACAAAGACATTCGCAATGGAGATCGACGGAGGGCGTCGCAAAGAAAGGACGGGCCGCTGACACGTATCGTATTATCCGAAACGGGGCCCACTTGTGCGAAGGCTCGGGTCCGTTTGGCTCGGAGGAAAAAGCTCCTCTCCATCAGGATCAGCGATGCGCATGCTGCGCGAGAATTCCTCGGCTCTAGACTCTCATTCCTTCACTGCGTTCTTCTGAGTTGCGTTAATCTCAGAGCTGTAGGAAGCGAGGAAGAATGGCCGCCATGGCAGCTTTGGCGCAGCTCACTACCACGGCCATCAGCTGCTCCTCCTCCTTCGCTCCTTCAACTAGCTTCGTCGGTACGAAGAATGCGGGCTCCATCAATTCTCTCGGTGGAGGATTGGCGTTACCGTCTCTGAAAGGACCTCGCTTTGGCGTTCGAAGAAGGCAATCTTGCCAGGGACCTTCAGCCCTGTTCGGTGGGTGTAATCTTCGCTCTGTGCTTTTGAATTGCAGTCTATTGTTGATTCGCCCACTCAATTTGCCGTCGGACTGTCTTCACTCTGAGCTTGGTTTTTCTCGTCAGCTCTCCAATTCTGTAACATCGTCTGGTTCCTCAAATGTTCGATCGAAGCATCTTCATAATCACATCGTTACGCAACAAAGGAACCCGGAATTGCACGCCTCCAGCCCTAATGTATTGAAGCCTTCTACACATTATGCACATTATAGTGTAATTTTGCTTGAAGAAATCTAGCTGAAGTTTGGACATAGGCCTTGTATGCACAGTACTTGGAGAAAAGGATAGTAAAAATATCTACGCGAGGGTTCGAACATTCATTTGGTCTGACTTTGAGCAAGTAAGCAGCAGAAAACCCATGGCCGATTCGCCGATTCGACCCCGACGTCTCCTCCTGGATTTAACTTCATTCTGGTAGTACTGCACTTCTTTAGCAAGTGAACAACTGCCCTAGGTTTTGAGATAATATCGAGCAGTACCACAGAGAGATTCTTGGCAACGATTGGAATATCGTCTCACGAGGGCAATCATGCATTACAAGTTTGCTTTGGTAGGATTCATATTGATCTGATTGCGTTTCTTCGGTATACTTGATCTTCTGATACTGGACTAACTGGGATCCAGAACCATACGCTCTCAGTATGTACCTGGACAAATAAACTGAGAGTTAAGTTGAAACAAATGCAGTCCTCGTTGAGCTCGCATCACGGATAAGAATGTTGAAATCACATTCTCGTGGAGATGTTCATAGAGTGGTCGATTTGATGCGTCTTCCGTAACGTGCAGGATGTGAATTGTCACAGCGGAAAGCTGACTGATGGTCAAAAAGGATATGGCCATTCTCTCTAATCTTCAGGTCCCAGATAAATTCAAGGCCCCAGCTGGGTAATGTGTGGTGCATTCCAGTGGAATGTGGGCTGCATTCCTTCCGGTGGGAGTGCCCAGATAAGGCAAAGCCGGGCAGCACTTTTCCTACTTGCATTTGCTGAGAGAGGCAGCTTTTGGGTGGATGTGTCTAACAAGGTCTCCACAACTCTTTTGAAGGATCATAGACCGAGGCAACGGCACTGGAAACGACGGTGAGGCCAAGAAAGACGACAAGAAGAAGTTCATAACGAAGGAGCAAGAACCTGAACAGTAAGTACTGTATTGGTCCTGTCCAAGAATTCTTTTATCATCCTACTTTGAGTAGTATCTATTCCATATGTTCTGCCACTATCAGGAGTTTCTGAAAGTACACACGTTCGTATAATTTCAACTCCTGACTTATCTTCTCGTGGGACACAAACCTCAACTAAATTCCTTGCAATCACCTTTTGAGAACAATCGCTTTACTCAATGAACTAGTCGCAAAACCACGTCCAGTTCATGAATAGGAGGCCGCTCTTTGTTATGCTATCGTTAGACTGAATAGGGAGTGAGTCTTGCGGGCAGAATGCCAATTTAGCATTAAGTGCACATTCTCAAGGGGTTAGTAGTTTACCTTTATGCTATCCCATCAGGTTTGGGGCTGGCCTCACAGGCAGAGAATTTGTGACGCCTTACCTGCATGGCCTTGAGTGTTGAGACTGTTATAATGTCGAGGTTGACCATAGGCAGCACGTGTTTATGAATGTATTTAAGAAGCTCGTTTATAGGCCTCCTAGAGAGTAACAGATCTGAAGATTTTCAAGGCTCCTACTCTTGTACGAGTAAGTGCTTGGCAGCCTGTATAGTGAGAACTGGTTCCTTTTTTTGTTCAAATCACCAATTTGTTCATTGTCAACATCTGAGAGCAACTCCTGGTTCGTGAAGAATTTAGTTCAGGATCTTTTGATGCCGCTGGCTGATTAGATCAGCGATGTTACTTAGGTCTGGATATGTGTAAGTTGCAACCTAGAACCTTTTTGAAATACCGATTTTACTAGAAATTCCCAAAAAACAAACGAAGTCTTGAAGACAATCTGCACATTTTTATGTCTAGAGCATTGAACAGACGGCAAGCTGTGTAATAGCTTCTCTTTACAGTTCTATTTATGATTTGTGCTTGTTTTGCTGATATCATAAGCACTGTCTTGGAGCGTGTTGATGCACTTGGCGTTAATGGCAGTTATTTGACATGTGACGCAGGTACTGGCAGACAGCGGATGAAAGGGATGGAAAGAACCCAATGGCTTCACCTCTCCCTTACATTTTGATTCTAAGCATTCTTTCTCCTTTTCTTATATTGGCCGTTGCTTTTGCCAACAACTGGATCAAAGTTCCCATTAGGTAATGGAAGAGTGCTTAGCCCAGCGAAGTCGCGCTCCTGTGTAAATTATGCATTCGCCGATGAAGAGCTTTGTTAAGAGGTAAGAATCTCGATTCGTAGATCCAAAAATTAGCTGGAATCTGCTCTTCGGAGCGAGAATCAAGTGCCAATGCCTTTCTTGGTGCCCGGGCTTTGGTGTGTACCAACATTGTAACAAATGAGTCTTGACAGTGACTGACCCATGTTAGGATGGCATAATGGCCTCATCAAGCTTGTACATCCGGGCCCTTCTTGAATGTCTCATCCTTCGAAGTTTCGAGTTGAATAGTATTTGTGCCGGATGTCCTTCAAATTGCTTGCCATGAGAAATTAATCCTTTAGCTGAGGAGGAGAGTTGTTGTAGTCGAGATGAATTCGCCTATTAAAATTGCGAACTATGTTACCGCTCTTTAATTTTTTGTCATCATGTAATATTGATGTGTTTCAATAATTAAAAACTTATACATCTATAGCTTGTAATCTCAATGGGTTGTAATACTTGATACGTCATATTTTTCGTTTATTATATTGTCACCATTTGTAATACATTATAGAGATAGAACATATCCGAAGTTTATAAAACGAAAAATAAGTAGTCATGCACGCAACATTTTGAATAACTTTTATATTTTCCACAAAGGTTTCGAATGTTATACTCGACGCACGTGAATATATCTAGATGATTGGGTTTAGTTATAAGACCAGGAATTGAAGTACTATCTGTATCAAAAGATAGCATACCAAAAGAATTAATTGGACCTTACCGTCATATTTAGTTATGTTTCCTACACGTTCTCATGATCGCTCATAGATGTAAATTTGTACAGAATATCTCGAGATTTGGCGTCTCAAATTCTCATTACAGTGCTAGGACGTGAGAACAATTTCTTGAAGGTTACTTTGACAGGAAACTATGAAGCACATCTAGTGGTCTATGTTTTTTTGGAAAAGTTAGTGTTGCATGACACAATTTATTATAATATAAATATGAAACTAATTTTTGTTTCTCATTAGTTTCTTCAAAATTATTAAATAGATGATGTTATCACGATTATTTTATGTAGGTATTATTGTCCATTCCTTCAGTTAAATGTTTATCATCCAGCGGGTAAATATGACATGTTTCAAAATAGTAATGAATATCATGACCTTCTTGCTTATTCAAGTCAGCAGGAAATTATCTACATTTTAATGTATTACATTTTTTGACTGAAGCTATCAATCTAATAAAATGTTAGTCATCAAGTTGAAACAAATTGGAAATTTTGTTATTTTATTTTAAAAAAATAATTTTTTGATCTCACATTGAAAACTTATGAATGTTTTGTTTTGTTTTTTAATGTATTGCTCCAATGTAAGAATATATTTCATGCTATGTTTTTTTAATCATATCATCAATCATTGAAACGAATTAAATTTTTGGATTATTGGTGAAATTTTTTAATACATACAATGAATTATTCGAAAATTTGAATTTTTGTTCAAACATAAAATGATCAATATTTTCCTTAAGTATATAAAATCTACATAATTCAATATATATCATCATTGAGAACATTGACTATTTATAATTATACATATATGTATAATGAATATTTACAAAAAAATGTTTAATGATATGATGATCTTTTAAAATTTTTGATGAATAAGATATTTTTACTTATATCTTGAAGCTGATGAAAATTAGAATAAATAACACTTTTAGCTGGTTGATAAAAAAGTACTTGTATACATTGTATATATAAAAAAATAATGACAATTATTTTCTAATTATAGCATATTAGATTGTGAATCAAGTAAACATGATGAAGTTTATTGTTACTTTGAATGTTTATTTCATTATATATGAAAAAAATATAATTTTGAAATGATGTATAATTTCATATTTGATTTAATTTTAAATAATATTTAAAAAAATATACATTATCATGAATTCTAGAATTTTTTGCATAAAAGAATAGCAGATTTTTGTCAAAAATTTTGAGATGCTATTAAAATGTGTTGATGATAACTATAATTATATTGAAGTATGTCAATCAAGTAATAAATGATTAAAAAGCAAATAAAAAAATTTACTACATTATAAAACGAGTAATTTGAGGTATAATTTGTTTTGAACATCAGCTTTTTAATTCAATGATATTATAATCCAACTTGGATAAAAAGTTGTAAGTTATTAAATTAGTTTTATTGATGACTGAAGAAAAATAAATGATAGGCTTCGTGAAAATATATATTGAAAATTTTGAATGTATTATTCTTTCAATTCAGAAAATTATTACTGATTTTATTTGTTCATATCATCATAATCAAATTTTACCCTTTTTATCTTGATTGAACAATAAGCTAAATTTTGTATTTAAATAATTTTGATACTTATTAAAGATAAAAGTGAAATTTCCAAAAATATATATCTGAATTCATTGGTATTATTCAGAAGATTAATAATTTGTATTACGCAGTTTTGTATTATATTTAAACTCAAATTTTAATCTATGCTCTATGCAAGATACTATATTCAATAATAAACAATAGATCTTACTTCATAAAAGTTTTTGAGCTTGTTAGATTTAAAAACTTATTTTTTATAGTACAAATTAGTGTATTTTTAATAAATAGAAAAACTTATTTTATTGTAAAAATATCTAACATTATCATTTATTTGGAATTTACAGATGTTCAAATCTTATTATAAGTCATGTCAAATATTGCTTACATAATAAATTTAAGTTTTGGAATTGTTTAGGTAATATTTACATGTATGTAGTGTGTTGAGTTGTTAGCATTTTGAATTCAGTGTATTTCTAAAATATTCAATTTTAAATATTTTGAACTATATTTATTTGCAACTATTAAAAAATGGAAATGGTGATTGAAAATAACATCAACATCATTATTCAAATAAGCTGGATATGTTGATTATGAAATGTGTAGCTAGCAAAGTGATTGATGTGTGATGTTTATTGAATATTATGACACGAGTTGATATGTGTTTTTAATGCAATGATTAAAGAATGATGGTTGTCTACACAATCATTCATTGATAATTTCATGTTATAAAATGCCATTTACCCTACTACATCTAAGCTATTTTTTATTTGAATTTAGTTTCATGAAATTATATCACTTAATGATTCAGATGACTAATTGTAAAATATTTAAATAAAATATACTGTAATAAATTTCAGTATTCTTAATTTTTAAGCAAGTATTTATTGAACTTTTACACTTATTTCAAAAGCATAATATTTTTGACTTGCACATCCTAAAAATACTCAGGAAAGATTAATTAATCATCTTCATAATACTATATTCACAAACTTCATTATCACAGTAAGATGATCTGTTTCATATATCATCATAATGAGGTTTAAATTTTTGGCCAAAACGATTAATTTAACAAAAGCGTTCTCATGATCTCTTCAATGTTTTATGAAATTGAGTATAAAAAATTTCCAGGGGGTTTTTTTTTGAAATTCTGATAGTTTGCCATAGATTTTATAAATATTCAAAGATTTAAAATTTGTATATTCTAAAAAAATTTCAATTTTAAAAATACAAAAGAAATTTTTGCTACAAAGCAGAACTAAAAAATCCTTGTCACTTACATTAAATTGCATTTAGCACAAATTTATATTTTAAAACCAGTTGGATAACCAAATTTTTTTAATATTTTTCTTGGCTCGAATTTAGTGATTAAATCACTAGATTGAAAATTTAATCTAATATTTTTGTTTTTAAATCAGAAAAATATGATTGTCTTGGTAAGTTAATTTTTTTAATGTTTTTAAAATAAGAAATATGTATTACATGTTTTAGATGAATCCAAAAATCTTTGCAAAACTGATTATCTACAGTAAGATTGTACGGTTGAATTTGAACTGACCATGAAGAGATCATTAGATTAGCCAAAGAGGTATATCGATAAAAAATTGCCTTATGATTGATTGATGTTATAAATATGTAGTGAGCATATATTCGCTGCAAGTTTGAATACAAGTTTCTCAAAAGCTAAAAAAATGAGATTTGAAATGATCTTGATTTTTCCATAAATTTCAATGCATATGCTGATTTGATATTAGATTGAAACAAAATTTATTTCACTGAACATATACTGTTCAAAGATTGTGAAATTGTTTTGCAATGTTAAGGAAAGGTGTTATGACATTGATTTTAACACTAGATACATGAAGTAATGTCTTCAATAAATCTTCTAGTGTTTCATGCGGTTTACTTAGACAATCATTAATTTCTTACAATTGGTCTGAACAGCTTCTTTTTTAGATCAGGTTGATATCTTCGATATTTTGACAAGCAATGAACAAATTGGGTGTAGTAATTCACTTGAGCATATTTTCCAACAATAACGTGATGAATTTAAACACTGTGTCAAGTTTAATGAGCAAGATTTATAAAGTAGCACTGCATATGCCCATAATGAGGAGAGGTTGGGGTGAATAGCCATGTAATTTTTTAAGAGCTAGATGTCAAAACTTCAATGAGAATCATTTGGTGTTAATGTAACAGGTAGTATCCTTTCATCCCTGCATTTTGGTGTTATATTGCTGGAACCTTGACAACCACTTGACAGCAGTAGAATTCAAGACCTGCAGTAGAGTGGAACGAGGACCTTGATGATCCTGTCAGTAGTAATGTATTGTAAGATTTACTTTTCCCCATGCCATTTGGGAGTCAGAACGCTAGTCTCAACTCAACTCAAGCTATGGCTCACTGTAGTCGACGAGAAGAAATCTACGATCGTTCACCTCAGTAAACGAATCAATTTTTTTTTATTACTGGTTTGGAGGTTTGGCCTGGTCTGCGAGTGTGCGCAATCTTTTCTGAGATTTCTTCTCTGTCGCAGGCTCACACATTGCGCGTGAAAAGAACTTGTGCCAAAGCGAGCTTGCCTATCAAGACGGCAAGAGGACTGCAGGTTTGATCCACACTCAGAGGTGCAGGATGTGGACACAGGTCTCATACTTACACATTTATTGAATTACGTGTCGCCGAGAGGCAGCAGTTATCTGCTGTGTGCTCTCAAAAATGTTTTGTTACTGGGGAATCAGAAAATGTCGATCGAGAGAGAGAGAGATAGAGAGAGAGAGAGGTTGGGGGGAGGGCGATCTGGAGGAGGAGGAGAGTACAATGCAAGAATACAGAAGGAATGTAGGAACGCAGCGGTGACAGACAGGGAGAGGGAGGGGGGGGGGGGGGGGGGGTATGGCGAAAGGATGAACAATGCCAGGTCGAAAAGGGGCCGGGGCTGAACAAAGTGGGGCTGGGAAAGCGAAGCGTGTGTGTGGCGTGGGGGAAGGTCCAGAGTTCGCATTTGTCCTCTTCCGGGCTGTCGCATGGCTCCCGAGTCCCGACCACCTCACCCTGTTTCATTCGAACACGGATTCACTTCGCATGTGATGGGCGAGCGCGAACAACAAATCTCTGTGCGGGCACTGATGCCACTTTTC